ACTCAGTCCTTTGAAACCTCTACTCCAGAGGGTAGCACATCTGCCCAATTCCTCCTGCCATTGTTGATAGGACTTGAGGATCATGTTTTTAAACCTCTGAGTCAGAAGCAGCCAAAGGAATCAATGAATAGGCATACAACTAGCATGATGCTAATGAACAAGACATTAAGCAGTGAAAAAATACTGAATGCCCAAGTCCAATTCCATATCAAGTAAACTAGAAATGAGTATGGGGTTCAGATATTGGTGGGTTGTTTTTTTTTAATTTAATCCTCATCCGAGGATATTTTTCTATTTATCTTCAGCTAGAGTGGGAGAGAGAGGGAAAAGAGAAACATCAATATGAGAGGGATACATCAACTGGCTGCCTCCCTCACGACCCGACCAGGGCTGGGCCGAACCGCAACCAACGTACGTGCCCTTGACCAGAATCAAACCCGCTACTCATTGGTCCGTGGGCCAATGCTCTAACCGCGGAGCTAAACTGGCCAGGGCCAGATGTTGATATTTTTAAAAATCTGCTCAAGTGATTCTAAAGTCTAGACAGGCTGAGAACCCTGCCCCTAGCATGATACAGAGCCATGAGGACTGCTGCCATATCGGTAATACTGTACTGTGCCCATCAACGACCCTTCAAGCAGAGATTGTTGAAGGAGAACTGAAAAACACTTCACTTGGCATGAAACCTGGTATGGAAGTTTTAAAATATGACCCCCAATGCTTTAACACTTCTGTTCTTCGTAAATATGGGTGGATCTTTGACTGTTTCATCCAAAAAAAGTATAGTTGAATTGATGCCACCTTAGTTCTGAGGCTACATCGCAAAAGGCAATGTAATTTCCACCTCAGGAGCGGAACACCCGTGCAGCCCCGAGCCACCATGCCGAAAGGAAGATCGGGCCATCTGGAGAAGCCACACACAGGAACTGATGCCTGACTCACGTTCCCAGCCACCATCAGCGTCAATAGAATCACTGAGACTGACAGACTATTTACAAATTCTGGGACTTGAAAGCATCAATATAAATAAGAGTGTCAGAGTAATGTGTCTGAATTTTCCCATCAAACATTCATTTTCCAGTTTTCCGCCAAATCTAAGATCAATCTTACTTCAAACAATCAATGACATTACAAGTGCCTGAAGCCACATATTGAGTTTTTCTTATTTTGAATAGTGGCTACATTTGAATTGAAAGAGAAAAAAAGATACTCTGAAAATGCTAGGGAATGGTCTGTAACATACAATTGCCTGACCTCAAACAAAGAACCACTATTATTTTGAAATATATAATGAAATGAATGAACTGTTAATAATTTTAACATGGGTCTAGGAGGCTGAATGGTGGTCCCAAGAAAAGTATTTCCACATCCTAATCCCTGTAACCTGTGAATGTCACCTTATTTGGAAAAAGGATCTTTACAAATGTAATTAAGGATTTTGAGATGAAATCATCCTGGATTATACAGGTAGAACATAAATTCAATAACATGTGTCCTTATAAGATACACAGGAGAGATTTCACAGACAGAAGGAGGCAATATGACCACTAATGCAGTCTCAGAGATCTGAGCGAGGCAGCCTAAGTCAAGAATTGCTTATAGGCTCTGGCCAGGTAGCTCAACTGGTTAGAGTGACTTCCCCATATGCCAAGGTTGAGGGTTTGATCCCTGGTCAGGGCACACAAAAGAATCAACCAATAAATGCATAAATAAGTAGAACAACAAAATCCATGCTTCTGTATCTCTATCTCTCTCTCTCCCCCCTCCTCTCTTTCTAAAATTAATCAATAAAAATGTTTTAATTTAAAAAAAGAAAGAAAGAAAAGAATTGCTTACAGCCACGAGAAGCTGGAAGAGGCAAAGAACAGATTATCCTCTAACACCCCAGGAGTGTGGGGCTTGATTTCGGACTTCTGGTCTCCAGAACTATGAGAGAATAAATCTCTGTTGTTCTAAACCAACCAGTTTCTGATAATTTGTTATAGCGGCCACAGTAAATTAAAACAGTTTGGAAAAAACAAACATTTCCTCATCGAAATTTTCTGTTTCCATGTAGTGCAAAATTTAATAAATTACAATTTTATTCTTTATACTGTTTCCTCATGCTTCTACCTACAAGATAGATTTCAGTTCAAAATATATAAAATGTCTAATCTTTATTACCATTGTTTTCTTTATGTTTAAGTTTTCCTGTTCTTTTGTTTTGTTTTGTTTGTCTTTTTAACATGTGACCTACCTCTGGCTGGTTTGGCTCAGCAGTTACAGCATTAGCTGGAGGACTGAAGAGTGTCAGGTTCAATTCCCAGTCAAGGGCATGTACATGGGTTGCATGTTTGATCCCTGGCCCCAGTTGGGGGTGTGCAGGAGGCAATCAATAGATGTCTCTCTCATATTGATGCTTTTTTCTCTCTCCCACTCCCTCTCTCCCCTCCCTTCCACTCTATCTTAAAAAAAAAAAATCAATGGAAAAAATCTTCTGGTGAGGATTAACAAGAAAACAAAACAAAACAAAAAACATATGACCTAGCAGTGATTTTTAGGCTGTATTTAGCAGCAATCTAAACAGTACAAAGTGAAGGACCAGGTTGAACATTCTGAATTCTGCAGACAATAAATTTAAAAATACATGCACTGGGGAGGTGAGGGGTGGAAAGAGGAGCACTTGGTACAGAAAAGATAATAATGAGAAAGATATCTTACTATAAAATATATGGTTTGTAGGCTGCCTCAAATTCCAATAGTGGGACATCCTACCAAATGACTTACCTGCACTCTTCAAAATTCTCAAGGTCATCAAAAGATGGGGAAAGTACTATATGACAAGTTGTCACAGCCACAAGGAGCCTAAGGAGACATGAAGACTAAATGCAATGTGGTATCTTGGGGTAGGGGAGGACATTAGGTAACAATTAAATGGGAATACGGTAATGACTTCAGTTAAAAATAATGTATCAGCCAGCCCGTGAGGCTCACCAAGAGGTCGCCGGGTGCGATTCCTGGTCAGGGCAAGCAGAGACAGCCAGACAATGTTCTCTCATCTTCTCTCTCATCGATATTTCTGTCTCGCTCTACCTCTCCCTTCCTCTCTCTCTAAAATCAATAAAGAAAAAAAGTTTCAAAAAAGAATAATATATCAATATTGGTTCGTTAATTTTAACTAAAGTACTGTACAAACAAAATGTTAATAAGTAGGTGAAACTGATTGGCAGGTCTTCTCAATTTTTCTGTAAATTTGAAACTGTTCTCAACAATAGCGTCTATTAAAACTTACACAGACGCGCAAGACTGTCTCTATCAAAAGTCATACTTTAAACAAGAAACTAAAATTTAAGGAAGTGAAACATTTAATACAAATCACTACTATTGAGGAAATGTTCTCAACTGCTTCCCAGAATGCTAGCGCTTATTGCAAAGAATAAAGCCCCCCTCCCCCCATTATTGGCGATGTTCTGAAATGGGGACACCACCAAGGAACTTTTCCGGACTTGCAAGAAAAGAGGAAAAAACAGCTGGCTCGGCTTGCAGTCCAGTTTCCACGGCTAACTGGCGTGCCATCTGCTCGCAGCGGAGCGGTAACCATGGTTCACGTGTCACACCAGCACTCGTGCTGGGAAGTCTGCCCCAACAAGCCTGGGCAACGTCGCTTCTGCGCAGGTTGCTGGGGTTAGAGGGTGGAGGCAGCAGCATCCAGAGCGTGTATATCGTTTTTCCAAACTCCATCTGCTCTCCCCCCTGCTCGGGCGGTGCCCGCGCTCTTCCCGCGCGGCAAGCTTAGGGGCCCTGAGCTGGTCTTTTGTGCATAACAAAAGCGCCCTCCTCCTCCCGCCGCCCCGCCCGCCCCCACCTTGGCTTCCCGCGGCCGCTCGGGCCCGCGTCCTCAGCAGGAATTGGTTCCCGGGCCCGAGGTTTCCAGGTACCCGGAAGGGGGAGGGGGGCGAGGCGGCAATAATTGGGCGGGTGAGAGCGAAACGCGCGGCCAGGAGCGCCAAGACTCCAAGGGGCGGCGAGCCCGGGCCGTGCGGCCGCGTGATTGGCCGGGACCGCGCGGCCGGCCGCCGCTGATTGGCGGGTTCTCAAATTCGGTCTCAAGGCGCCAGAGGAGGTGTTTTAGCGGGGACCGCGATCTGGGCTGCAGTCCCGCTCGGCGTGTCGGAACGCTGGCGCTGTCCGGACGCCGCGGGGTCCTCGCCAGCGCACGGCGTTCGGAGCGGGGGTCTGCGCGCCCGGCTTTCCCCGCCCGATGTCGCCGCCCGGCTGCTGATCACCTCGCCCCGCGGATCCCGCGCGGATGTGAGGCCGGAGAGGTCCCCGGAGAGGCAGGAAACCTTCGCAGAGCCGTAGTAAGTAGCGCAGGCGGACAGGAGGGAATTGGGGGGAAAGGGAACCCTCCCGCCCCGCTGCCAGCCTGCCACCCTCCCCTCCTCCGCCGGCGGGGAATTGAGGACTTTATGTCGCGGGACCACGCGCGCGTGGGGTGTCCTGGCTCCAGCTCTTCCGCGGGTCGGGCAGCAGAGGGGACTTGCCTTTCCTCACGATTTGGGGGCTTCATTGGAAGAGTTGATCCTTGGGGTCTGCTTGGGAGCCTAGAAAGGAGCTGCGCTAAGCCCTGGATGGATTTGATCTAGCGATCAGGTTTCCTTCTCGGATTCAAACCTCGTTAAAGCCGAATTCCTCCCAGTTCTTTGCGCCAAAATTAACTGACCTTAGGAGACCCTGTACTTTCTGACAGATTTGCCCTATACCTTCCTGACTTGGTAACTTTATTTTGTTCTGTTGCTTTTCATAAAAACTTACTATTTTTGTTGATTTTTTTTTCCTTCCCAAGTTTTCCGTAATTAGTGGCTGTTTGTATTCGTTCCTGCGCGTTTTGGAGAGTGGAGGGTGTCTACGCTCCTGGAAATTCCCAGGATGAGTTTAGGGAGGGGAAGTTCATGTTCATTTTTGTTGGAGGAGAAAGCATCTAATTGTAAAATCATTTCTAATGTAATTGTGTATTACAGATGGAAGTAAATTGTTTAACACTAAAAGACCTGATCAACCCCAGGCAGCCCAGACTAAGTGATTTTGTAGCTGACGATGGGGAAAACGCACAAAAGGTAAGTGCACTGAGGTCGAACATACTTAGGATGGTGATGTCTAATTCAATTAAATGTTTCAGTGTGCCACTTGTATTTATTTGTTTTGTAAACCTAATGATTATGATGAACATTATAGAAATATAGGCATCCAGACCATTAATAACTGAGTTTCTCAGTTACTGTGCAGTGGAAAGAGGCTAGATTAGAGGTAGTGTTGGAACTAGTTCATACCCATCAAAGATGTGCTAGACACCTCAGTCAAAAGTTTTAATACTTGTAGTTGTCAAAATTGTAATTAGCTAACGCTGTGCAGCAATGTTAAGCCTCAGTACCCAGGGAAATAGACTCTTTGCTATAAATGCTGGAATATTAAAGTACTGTGAAATGTTCTTCATAGCCATTAATCAGCTCCTAGAGGCTGTTCCGTTCACCCATATAGGGAGATAAGTGACTGAATACACCAACATATGAGTATTTTACAGTGCTGCTGCTGGTCTGGTTTTGCAGAGTCATTACTCCTTTTTTGCACCTCTGTGATTTGTAAGACCATGGTGGTGTCTTCAAGAAACATTACCAAGTAAACTGGCCATAGCAATATCTAAACTGTCCCTGTACTCATGTCAGCACAGTTATGCTGAAAAGTGCCCTACTGAAAAGCTGTAATAGCTTGTTAGTAGCAAATATTTAAGCATTGTTAGGCAAAGGCAAATAGATATAATAAACCTGGATGTAGAAACTATGAATATAAGTCTGAGCATGGCAATTTCCTTGAGCATTGAACTTCTCTAGGGTCCTGGTCTAAATTTTAGACCAGCATCAACAGTGAAACTACCTGGTTGCAAAGAACCTGTTGTATGGTCCTCTGAAGAATATTTGACAGCCATTAATTTTGGATAGGTGTGAAATTGTATACTCTTCCATGTAGGGTTTTCTTTCCCCCTAGCATTCGATTTATTTTTGTTAGGAAAAGAAGTGTACCAAAGCGTTATTGTTTTAAAGAGGAATTTTTTTTAAATTACCTAAGCTATATGAGGGCGGAAATGCCCAGACTTTATATTTTCAGATTTTTGGAGTTTCAGAGCAAAACTTTGTTATCTTTTATCATTTGGATGTGATAGCCTTAAAAAAATATGTATACATTTATATAAAGCCTAAGTCAGTGTACCCTTTTTTCCTTCTGGGTCAATGACTCCTAATCAAGTGCCTTCAACTTCTACTCTAGTTAGCATCAATGAGTCTATGTCCAGTTGAGCTTTCACATTCTAATGGATATGGAAAAAACTCAAGTGATTCGAGAGATTGGGAAGGTGGTTAAAATGTTTGAAATGGAATGTCTGAGCAGGAATTATTTCACCTCTCAAAGAGAAGGCACAGGATAAGAACAGAGTGCTTCTTCCTAGATACTCCGAGGGGCTTTGTGTCTTTTCCTGTTGCTGGGAATCGTTTCTAGGGATAATGCAAACATGGGATTTGGAGTCAGATCTGGGTTTGAGTTTCTGCTCTGCCTTTTATTAGCTATGTCACGTTGAACAAGTATATTTATTCAGTCTTTCAACAAATATGCATGTCAAAGGTGCTAGGGGGACATTGGTTTAATAAGTCTCCTAACCTCATTAAGCCTGTTTCTTTCTTCCATAAATTACAGCTAATAAATAGCACCCCCCCCCCTTTTGGGTTTTTGGTAAGCACTCAGCAACACATATTGTTCACACTGTGCTCAAACTGACAACCCAAAGATGAATATGATGTGGGTGCTGCCCTCAGTTACCTGAGAGACTCTCAGGGACTCAGATGTAAAACTAACCAACTGGACTGTGATTTGATAAATGCTGTAATAGAAGTGAGAATACAATGGCCCCCATGGAACAGAGGAGGAAGAAATAAATTCATAGGGAGTCTAGGGAGATTTGGAAGGCTTCAGAGGAGACAGCATTAGGGTTGAGGATGTTCAACCTACAAGAAGAGAAGAGTGAGTGAGAGGGACATTTTAGGCAGGAGAAATAACATAAGATGTGGGCATTTAAGAAATGTTCAAGAGATTCCACATGGCCACAGACTCGTGGGGACGAGTTGTTCCTTAAAGCCCTCTGAGGGGTGCTTGCTCCAGTGTCCTGTGCACCAGTTAGCATATAGAGCATTAATCTTTCTTGACTGGTCAAGAACTCTTACAAGTTCTGTGTTGTCCATGCATCTTCGTACTGCTCATGGAAAACAGAAAGAAGTTTTCAACTTGATTACCCAAATTTACCGTGCCCAGTTGTGGGATAACAAACAACTCTCCTAAGTTGTTTACAGTGCATTTAGGCATGACAAAGAATGGATGATTTGGGACAAAGAGATGAGCAGTGCGGAATGAGCTGTTGGGAGGGCTTTGTGAAGGAGTTAACATCTGAGTTAGGGCTTGAAGGAATGAAGACTAAGACTTAGGCAAGTAGAGAGGAAAGGACCTGGTAAAGAGTAGAAATGAGGCCCTGGCCGGGTAGCTCAGTTGGTTGGAGTGACGTCCCGATGTGCCAAGGTTGTGGGTTCGATTGCTGGTCAGGGCACATACAAGAAGCAACCAATTGCCCTGGCCAGTTTGGCTTAGCAGTTAGAGCATCAGCCGGTGAACCAATGAGTTGTGGTTCGATTCTGGTCAAAGGCATGTACCTCGGGTGCAGTTCATCCCGGTCCTGGTCGGGGTCATACAGGAGGCAACCAGTCGATGTATCTCTCTCACATTGACATTTTTCTCTCTCTCTCCCTCCCTCCCTCCCACTCTATCTGAGGAAAATACCCTCAGGTGAGGATTAAAAAAAAAAAAAAGCAGCAACCAATGAATGCATAAATAAGTGGACTAATAAATCAATGTTTCTCTCTCCCTCTCTTCCCCTTCTTCCCTCTCCCTCTCCCTGTCTAAAATCCATCAGTCAGTAAAACGTAGAAGTGAATGGTACATTTGGGGACAACACCTAGACTTAGTGAGCACAGGGTTTTTTGAAGGTCATTCATCTCTCTTGGGAGTGGTTAATAAAGAAGTTGAGTTCAATTTGAAATATAGCTGTACCTGTGTGATTACAGATAAATAAATATGTGCAGAAGGCAGCTGGTTGCCTGACTTTGGAATTCATGGAAGGTGCTAGCCAAACACAAACTTGAGAATTATCAACACACAGGTTGGTTTTAAAACCGTGTACAGTGGTGCAGAGAGGCAAGCAGCGGACTGAGGTCTGAAAGAGTGGAAAAAGGAACTAGTGAAGGAGACTAAGAGGGAACAGAGAAGTAGGAAGAGAACTGAACCAACAGAGAAAAACCGCAGTCTCAGAAGGCCTGCCAGTTTTATAGAGCAAGGAACAGTCAGCAGTTTTAACCATTGCAGTGATGTGGGGTGAGGTATTCTGCCATTGGTTTGGCACCTGGAAGGTGACCTCACTGAGAAGCAGTGGATCAGAACACACTGATAATTAGAGGAACACCTGGGATATGGGCAGGGATAGCCTTCAATGTGGATTACTCATTCTAGAAAGTGCTCTGAAGGGAAAGAGAATTGTTAGTCAGAAGCCAGGGGAACTTCCTAACGGGTAGTCTTCGCAGTGAGGCTTAAACAATAGGTAGAGTTTCAACAGGCACAGCTCCGCCGATGGCACTAGAGACAAAGTGACAGTGTGAGCAGCAGTGCAGATGTGATGACGTGCAGGGCAGGTTGAAGAAAAGCAAGGGGACTGTCAGGGCAGACTGTGCAATCTGCATGAGGTGGAGCTGGAAAAGAGGTTGGCGTGACTGCGGACCCGGGTTCGATTCCAGCCAAGGGCTCGTACCTCGGTTGCGGTTCATCCCCAGTCCTGGATGGGGTCGTGCTGGTGGCACCCAATCGATGTGTCTTTCTCACATCAATGTTTCTCTCTCTCTCTCTCTCCTTTCCACTCTGTCTGAAGATAAATGCAAAATATCCTCGGGTGAGGATTAAAAACAAAAATTAAAAAAAAAAAGAAGTTGGCATGACATTACCGAAGGCCTTGACAAGGCTGACAACTATTTTATTTGAGGTAACGTGATCAAAGCTGTAGCCGAAACAGAAGCAAGAGAGAAACCAAGATCGGTTAACTACCCACTCCTTTCCGTGGCAGCATTCAGCATGGTCTTAATGCGGGTTCGGCTGAGAGTGATGAACATTGGGTTAGCATTTCACAGGTTACAAACCATTCACCTTCATTATGTAATCTGATCCTCACAATAACTCTATGGCAAGTAAGCCATTCACATAGGAAAACTAGAAAACTGTCATGGGTTACTTACTCCAGGCTCTGTCTAAGGGAGGAAGTGATTTCCAGGGTGTTGCAGCTTTGATTTCCTGACAAGCAGATGTGACACGGAGCTTACTGTGCAGGAGGTTTATAGGGAGTGTTCTGGGCATCAGTGCCTGGGGAAGGGAAGAGAAGGCAGCAGAAATGGACAGAGGAAGAGGCAGGTCTGCAGCAGTTTCAATGGAAGTCTGAGTGTAGCCTGTGGGGAGGTCTGGGATGACCCCTCAGAGTAGTCCTGAGTAGGGCAAGGGGCCTGGCTTGTACATATCAGGCCCCCCGGGGAGAATTGTGATCCCAGATGCTTCAACTCTCTGCAGCCAAGGCATTCCACTTGAGGGCTTCCTGTTGGCATTCCTCCAGCAGCTGGGGGACTGAATCATTCCTACTGAGGTGGTCTGGTTGCATCCCAGTGTCCACCACACAGCTGGGCAGCCTTGCTGGAAAGCCATGGAGATACTGCAGTCTGAACTCCTTATTTTATGGATCAGGAAACTTGGTCCCAGACAGAATGAACAGTTCATTCAGTATCAAGAAGAAACAGCCTTGGCCAGCTTGGCTCAGCGGTTAGAGCATTGGCCAGCAGACCAGAGTTGTGGGTTCGATTTCGGCCAAGGGCACATACCTCGGTTGCAGATTGCCCCTGCCCTGGTCGGGGTTGTGCAGGAGGCAACCAATCGATGTGTCTCTCTCATGTTGATGTTTCTTTCTGTCTGTCTCTCTGCCCTTCCCACTGTATCTGAAGATAAATGGAAAAATATCCTTAGTTGAGGATTTTTTTAAAAAAAATGAATTTGCTCTTTTCCCAGGCTAGCATTACACAGTATGATAGATACTCCATGATGCTGGGCAGCAGCAGGGAGCTGCAGCTCCCAGTCATCCACGGATCAGAGTGAGCAGCTCGTACTCTACAGTGTACTGTGTTGCCAGTATTTTTGGATATTGTGTTTCATTTTTTCGCATTCCATCGTGTCTACAAAACATCCATCTGGGTCTTCTGTTTCTGGTGAGAAGAGGAGGGCAGTTGCAGGTGCTGCTCGACTTTCCATGGGGAGAGCACATTGGGGTGGGGTAGGCTAAGCTATGATTGTCAGTAGGTTAGTTGTACAGTCGTCCCTCATTTATCGCGGTTAATCTGTTCCAGACTCTAGCAGTTGCACCTGGCGTTGAAGGATTCCTGGGGTGCTCGAATGCATAGGCCTACAGTCCATATGTACAGTAATTTTAATTGTAATACAGGAGTGTATAATTTGACTCAGACAACCGAGCGCACACTGTATCATTTTCACTGTCTCAGTCAACTTTTTAATGAATATATTTGAAAAAAACCTCGATAGAGTGAAGCCGCGAAAGTCGAAGCGTGAAGTGGCCAAGGACGACCGTAGTAAATGCACTTTCAACTTTCCATATTTTCAACTTATGAATGGTTTGTCAGGACGTAACTTCATAAGTCGAGGTGCATCTGTAATACTTAAACTGTAGTGAAAATATATCGAAGTGTTGGAGTAAATTATCTAACTGATTGCTTCTCAGTAGAGAAAAAGTAGGAGGAACGCATTGTTCCTGTGGCTTCAGGTACCACGGAAGATAGAGAAGGAGAGTGAATCTCTGTCTGAAGATAGAGAAGGACGGTGAATCTCTGTCTGCCTCAGCAAGACTGGGCCACACCATCTACTGCAGGGATGCCTTTTTGAATAACCAGATAATCAAGGCACGGTGTTCTCTGTGCATCTGTGCGGGGCAAGGCATTGTGCCACACACTGTGAGGAATGAGACATGTGGAACTTACTGCCTGACCTCCGGAAGTGCGGTCTCATTAATGAGACAAGACATACACCCAGGAAGTTAAATAGATTAGCTCTGAGTGTCAGAATGAGTGGTAATAAAGATGGGAAAGAGGGGAAAAGATATTAGCTAAGTTTTATTGCATGCCCACTATCTGCCAGGAACTATTCTCATAACCTTTGAGGCTGGTATTTTATGAACTTCATTTTCAGTTGAGAGCATCAAAGCCCAGTGAGGAGAAGGAACTCCCTCCCTCCCACTGCTGGTAGCTGGCCCTGGCGCCGGCCAGCAGAACTGCGTCCCCTTTCTGCCTCTGCCTCATCCTCCTGGCGCCTGCTGGCTGCTGTATGCAGCTGAGAAAAGGTAGCCTCCTCCCAACAGGCACCCAGGACAAGCTTATTTCTAGATGCAGAATTTCAGAAACTCCTGCGTTCAGCTCTTTCTTGCACACTAGTTACTTTTTTTTTTTAATCCTCACCTGAGGATACTTTTCCATCTATCCTCAGATAGAGTGTGGGAGGGGGGCAAACATCGATGTGACAGAGGCACATCGATTGGCCACGTCCCGCACGATCCTGACCAGGGCTGGGGACCAAACTACGACCCTGACCAGGGCCGGGGACCAAACCACAATCGAGGTACGTGCCCTTGACCAGAATCAAACCGAGACTCTTTGATCCAATGGCTGACACTTTAATCACTGAGCCATACTGGCCAGGGCATACCAGTTACTTTTATACAGAATGAGGTTGTATGTAACCTCGAGCAAGTTATTTCACCTTGGTGTGCCTCGGTTTCTGCAGCTGTAGACTGGAAAAATAACAGTACCTAGGTAACAGGATTAGGTGAGGCGTTAATATATGTAAGGTCTGGGTGTGGCATGTAGGAAACACTCAACACTTTCCCTGGAGGGTGCCCTTCCAGACGACTTCATCAGAATAGCACACTTGTAGGAACTTGTTAAGAGATGTCAGTAGATGCCTCGCCCCAGGCTGGATGCTCACTGCTGCTGTGGCCTGAGAAGCCCACACTCCCATCCCCACCCCCTCCCTTCCTGTTATAGGAGGACTGCCATGGCTGGCTGTAACTTCTGCTAATCCAAGGAACAAGATTTGGCATGCTAATACATATTCCAGTTCCTCCCAGTCTTCCCCCTCTTCACACGTTCATTTTTGTTTTGTTTTTTTTTATCCTCACCCGAGGATATTTTTCCATTTTTTGTACAGATAGAATGGGAGGGAGAGAGAGGAAGGGAGAGAGAGTGAGAAACATCGACGTGAAGGGACACATCGAGTGGCTGCCACCCACACGAGCAACCAGGGCCGGGGACAAACTGCAACCGAAGTACGTGCCCTTAGCGGGAACCGAACCCGGGTCTCTCCGGACCGCAGGCCGACGCTCTAACCGCTGAGCCAAACTGGCCAGGGCCACACGTTCATTTTTAAGACGCACTGTTTCTACACCACTGTTCAGCCAGAATCCAAGCATGCAGGAGCTACGCAGTGACCCGTGTACAGGAGGGTCAGTGACAAATACTCACCTCACCCACCCTCACACTTATGTAAGACCTGTTGCCTGGAGGTGCATTCTGCTGTAAGAACCAAATCTTTCTGTTTCTGAGTGCCAAAAACTGGTTTTAGGGGAAAGAAAGCTGTTTTATAATTGCTTGGTAGTTCCAAATTTGGATTCTCTATACTCAGTTCTTTCTTACGATGGACTAATGGACATAATGGATCTATCATTAATCTTTTCATATAATTAAGACAGTCTACTCCAAGTGTGATCTGAGGGTAGGTTCTACTCCATAAACTATTACCAAACTGGGAAAAATTAAGGACAGAACTTGAGAGTTAAGCACTTAGAAACCTCTGTAACAACTAAATATCACCTCCATGACATCCAAGCCTGTGATCAGTGGTCTCTTCCTGTTGAGACTGTAGGTCAGTTCAATTGGCAAACTCGAGTGGAGAGGCAGATGGAGAGGGGTTGCATATGAGTCCTGTGAAGTAAGACCACATATCAGTATTCAGGAGTTAGCAGATGTGAAACCCTGGTCCTTACCAGGCCGGCATGGCTCCGGGGATTGAGCGTTGTCCCATGGACTGAGAGGTCCCGGGGTTGATTCCTGGTCAGGGCACATGCCCAGGTTGCAGGCCCAGTGGGGGTGGTGCAGGAGGCAGCCAATCAGTGTTCTCTCTCACATCGATGTTTCTGTCTTTCTCTCCCTTCTTTTCTCTCTAAAAAAATCAGTTAAGAAATATTAAAAAATAAAACCCTGGTCCTTCGCCATGGGTGGTTTGAGAAGAACTGCTTTGGGGGAATAGCATTAGATAGTTCTCCAAGTTTGCTTGAAATGTGGCATTTTGTTGGATGCACTTTCATTGATTGCTCCTGCTAATTGCTGTATTCATGCTGGTGAGCACTGAACTACAAAAGCATAATTTCTCTTTGCTGGTGAATGCAAACTTACAGTGTTTAAAAAATGTGGCTCTGAGGAGCATATGGACTCAACTCACCTTTACCCTTCTCATCCCCAACTATTACAGTGACAGACACACTCATGACTTCAACAGAGATGCCATGAAAAATGTGCGTAAAAGGAGCAGCAGTTTATCATCAGTTCCTCATTGGAGCCTCTCCTCGAGTCCCATGAATCCTTCTGTCTGTTTTCATTAGGCCCATCCTAATATTTTTCAGCCCTGAACATATGGTCTGTTTGTATTTTCATGGTGGGAACTCACTGTTCTCTTAGCTGATAGCTGACCTCTCTCATTCTTGCTAAAAGGTCTCTTTTTTTTTAAATAGGAAAATATTTTTGTTGATCGATCAAGGATGGCCCCGAAGACTCCAATAAAAAATGAACCAATTGACTTATCAAAGCAAAAAATCTTCACTCCAGAAAGAAATCCCATTACTCCAGTTAAGCTTGTCGACAGACAGCAGACAGAACCATGGACGCCCACAGCGAACCTGAAGATGCTCATCAGTGCTGCCAGCCCAGACATAAGAGACTGGGAGAAGAGGAAGGGGCTGTTCAGACCCATTGAGAACAAGGACGAAGCGTTCACAGGCTCTCTGCAGGTAAGCAGGCTGTGCTCCCGAGGGCTTTGTGGAATTTAAATTTTAACTTGATTATTTTAAAAAGGCATAGAATTCTCCATTTTTCAGCGACTATTGAGCCAAAAGCAGTATTAAACTTAATATCATCTTTAAATTACACATCTATGGCAAACCAGAGCCCTATCTGAATAAGCAGCATATCTGTACTTTAAAAAAAAAAAAAAAAGCCCTGGCCAGTTTGGCTCAGCGGTTAGAGCATCGGCCTGCGGTCCGGAGAGACCCGGGTTCGGTTCCCGCTAAGGGCACGTACTTCGGTTGCAGTTGGTCCCCGGCCCTGGTTGGTCGTGTGGTGGCAGCCACTCGATGTGTCCCTTTCACGTCGATGTTTCTCTCTCTCTCTGTCTCTTCCTCTCTCTCCCTCCCACTCTATCTGTACAAAAAATGGAAAAATGTCCTCGGGTGAGGATAAAAAAAAAAAAAAGTATAAAAAAAAAAAAAAATCAGTGGTCAGTAATTTTCTCTCTCCCATCAAACTTTTTCCCAGATTTGCTAAGAAAAATTACTCACAGATTGGAATGTTATTTCACTCCCATTTTTCTTTATTTTAGTGGATTTTTTTAATCTATAAAAGTTACCAAAATGACCCGGCTGGTGTGGCTCAGTAATTGAGCATCGACCCATGCACCAGGAGGTCACTAGTTTGATTTCCAGTCAGGGCACATGCCCAGGTTGTGGGCGAAATCTCCACTGGGGGGGGCGTGCAGGAGGTGGCAAATCGATGTTCTCTCTTATCCATGTTTCTATCTCTCTCTCCCTGTTCCTTCCTCTCTCTCTAAAAGCAATAAAGAAAAAATATATATTTAAAAAAAATGACCAAAATGAATAAATTGGGACTAGAGAAGAGAAAAGGATGCCCCAAATTACAACTGGAAATGTATAGACCAAAATGAAGCGAATCTGCCATGCGCTTTATTGCCATGGTAAAACTAACAATACAAGTCAGATCACACATTGAGAACCAGGTCCCCAGAGAAACTCCTGTGCCTGTACACCAGGGGACAGCAACAAAAATAACGTAGCAGTATCGTTCCTATTAACCCAATTTGGGAAATGACCCAAATTGTTACAAAAAAGGAAATAGATAAGTAAATTGTGTTTTATTTATGCAGTGGATTCTCATACGACAGTGAAAAGGAGAGAACTGCAGATACCTGCAAGAACCTGAATGAATCTCAGGATGTACAGTCAGTCCTCACTTAAATTTGTTAATATGTTCTGTGACTTGAAGCAAAATGGCGTAAAAAAAGCAAACAGACCAATTTTACCACAGGTTAATTGATATAAACAGAGCTTACATTATAGCAGAATGATGTTCAATTAAATGTTATTCGAGGTGAGGACCTCTTGTGTGTAGATTGAAGAAAGCAAGTCCCAGAAGACTAAAACCCAAACTAGCAAAACAAGCCTAAGCAATTATATAGGAATACATGTGTACATGATCGAGTGATTTTAAAATGGCAAGGAAACGATAAATACAAATTCAGGAGAGGGTTTACTCTGTGGGGTAGGCAAATGTAAATTAATAGTATTGTTCTAGTTTGGGGGTTGGTTGGGAGGTAGAGTTATGGGTATTAAAGACATTACTTACCTGATAAGTGTATTTGATATGACCAACTATTCTATCAAAAGGTTATAAAGAACCAATTTTTAAAAAGAGATCCCTCAGGAATTTTTAAGACTATAAAGGAATCCTGTGACCACACAGTTTGAGAACTACTATCCTAAGGTGTATACCTCACAGTGCAATTACTAAGTTGCTGGATGTTCAGATACTCACAAGATAATGCCTGATTGTTTTCCCAAGAGCTGTTTGCTTCCACCAGTAATGTATAAACGTATATTGATCACACCCTCTCTGACACTTGAAATTCTCAAATTTATTTATTTCTACCAATCTAGTGGGTGTATAATGATATATTATTGTGGTATTCATTGGCTTTTTCCTTGAGATTAAGCTTTTTTCCATATCTTTACTAGCCACTATGTTTTTTCTTCTTCTGTGAAATACCTGTTCATGTCCTTTGCTGATTTTTATTGATTTGTAGGGTTTATTGTATAGTCGTGAAACTAAACCTTTATCAGTGTTACATTGCAAATTGGTGCCTGTCTTTTTTCTCCTTGAGTTGCTCCAAATAATCAATTGTCCTTGTATCATTTATTCAGTTCTTCCTCCTCCCTGGAGTTGGCAGTGCCACCTCTGTCATGTGTCAAAGTTTCATTTGTGTGTGCGTCTGTTTCTGGGGTCTTTCCTCTTCCATTGGCCAATTTGTCCCTCCCTACACCAATACCACACTGTAATAAGCCTTCATATCTTTTGAAGAAGAACCTCAATTTATTTACCTTCAGAGTTTGTGGGCTCTATGCTTTGCCCTTTTTTCTTCCAAATGTACTTCAGATTGGATTTTAATTATAATTGCATTGCATGTGGATTACTTTGAGAATTAATCTGTTTATGGCACTAAGTCCTCCTACCCATGAGTATATGTTTCTCTAAATATTAAGTCTATTTTCTTTAAGATATCAATTTTGATATTTTATGCAAATAGTTGCTAGATTTGTTCCTAAAAACCTTATCATTCTTTTTGCTAGTAGACGTCATATCTTTTTCATCCATTTTCTGTTACTATTGTATAGTAATGCAGCTAACTTTTTTTTTTTTTTTTATCCTCACCCGAGGACATTTTTCCATTTTTTGTTCAGACAGAGCGGGAGGGAGAGAGAGGAAGAGAGAGAGGGAGAAACATCGATGTGAGGGGACACATCGAGTGGCTGCCACCCACATGACCAACCAGGGCCGGGGACAAACTGCAACCGAGGTACGTGCCCTTAGCGGGAACCGAACCCGGGACTCTCTGTACCGCAGGCCGACGCTCCAACCGCTGAGCCAAACCGGCCAGGGCTGCAGCTAACTTTTTAAAACAGAATCTTGTCTTTTCAGCTCCCTTGCTAAATCCTCTTACCGTTTTTAATAATTTGTCAGTCTTAAGTTTTTTGTGTAAACAGTCATGTGTCCTGCAGAATGAAAGTTTTATTTATTCCTTTCCAATTCCTGTGCCTCGGTTTCTTTTTCTTGTTCTCTTGCACTGGATAGATCTCCACTGATGTGGAAGAGGAGCATCGTATCATTCTCCTGATCTCTAAGGGGACTGCTTCCATGGTTTTCTCTTTAAAACAGATGGTTTCAGTTGGATTTTTATAGATGCACTTTATCAAAGTTCTCCAGTCCTGGTTTTCTAGGGGCATTTTTGAAAATCATGAATGGGTGTTAAATGTATTAAAAGTTGTTTCTGAAGCTATTGAGATCATCATATTGCTTTTCTCCTTGACTATGTTCATTGAAAAATGAATTCATTTTACTGTCTTGGGATTGAATTCAGCCTTCTTCACATGTGGGTTGATGAGACAAGGACACTGGCTGGCTTTGTGTGCTTGCAATAAGAAAGAACAAGGAAGAATAAGATTTAGCTGCTCTTGTTCGGTTCCGTCAACCCTTGGTCATTTGGAAACATGTAAAACAGTTTAATGACACAGTGGAGGCCATGTATCTTAAATTTTATGTCAACAGAAATCACCCGGGATATTACGAAAAGACAGATTCTGATTAATGGTCTGGGATGAGGCCTGGGATTCTGCATCCCTAACAAACTCCTAGTCATGCTGATCTATGGTCCACCCAGCACCCTGTCAGCATGAGTATAGCAACCTATAAGAGACTGCACCGTTCACTGTTTAAGCTTTTAACCAGGCCTCAAATTGCAAAGGAGAAAAACATTAGTCTAGCTGTGGCTGGTTTGGCTCAGTGGTTAAAGGCTCGGCCCTAGGACAGAAGGGTCGTGGGTTCACGTCCCAGTCAAGGGCACGATGTTCCTCCCTCCCTCCCTCCCTCCCTCCCACTTTCTCTAAAAATCAATGGAAAAATATCCTCGGGTGAGGATTAACACAACAAAACACAGTCCAGAGGTACAATGCTAAAAAAAAAATGAGTTCAGGAAATGTATTTTGGAATCTAAGGTAGTACAGATTAGGATGTACCCCCCAACTTGCCAGTGCTGCCATGGCGATTTCTCTATTAGGATGTTAACCGTGCCATCCACCCTCCCTTCTGTCTGCCCTCTGTAGCTTCGTGTTGTTGGGGACAGTGCTGTGGACAAATTTGAGAAGCGAAGGCCAAGCAGAAAACAGAAGAGTTTAGGACTCCTGTGCCAGAAGTTTCTAGCTCGCTATCCAAGTTACCCCATGTCGACTGAGAAAACCACCATCTCCCTGGATGAAGTTGCTCTCAGCCTTGGTGTGTATGGGCAGGTGACCTGGAGGTCTGTCTCCAGTCATAGAGGGAAACCAGTTTCCTCAGGCAGACTTTGGGCTTCCGATTGCCTCGTTTATTAAGGAAAGAGCAGGCCCTCCGAAACAGTGGGGACGCGGGCAGGTGGGCCTTTTTCTGCCGTGATCATTATGTGGAGGATACCAGGGAGCTTCTAGGCCTGAGGGGCAAACAAAAATGTGTTGTTGTTTTTAACCTTAAAAAATACTTTTACAAGACTCACATTACAAAGTCCTAGCTCATATTTTAATTTCATCTTATTGCAGACAGACTCGAAAAATGTTTTGAAATAGCCTGTGGTCTATTTTTAATAATGCTTCTAAGGGTTCAGAGCTGGTGGTATTTCTATTACAAAGCGAGAGTAGAGAGCAAGAGCATGATGTTTGAAGCCCTGTGCTGTGCAGTTATTCACAGCAAGCCTGCCAGACTAGAAAAAGCACATCTGGACAGAATTCAGACAGCTAACCCTTATAACAAAGAGGAATACGCGTGTTCGCGTGGGGTGGATGTGCAGTGGTGTGTGTGCTATAAATAAGCACAGCAGCTTTCGAACAGAGACCCCTAGTGGACATGCATCACAGTGGGTTTCAGGATGAACATTGTCGACAATCATTAAATAAGCAGAAATCACCAAGATTTGAAGGTGTGCAGTGTCTCTTAAAAAATGAGGTTTTACATACGTAATTTTGATAGAAGACAGTTTTAGTTTATGTATTAGTTCTCTTTCTTCTCAGAGCCCAGAGAAATATGTGCCAGTCGATGATTGTCAATCTGAATTATTCCAACTGGTGGCTCAGAAGATTGTGTTTCCCAGAAACTGAAATAATGAGGAGGCACTGGGTTGTGATGGGAACACTACAAGCTTGGCTTTGGGTCAGACAGGACTGGATTTGAAGCCCAGCTATGAGAGCTTTCAAAAGTTAACCTTTTCTCACAGGGACCACAGCGCCCGCCGGGCAGAAACTCAGCCAGGCTGCGAGAACGTCAGTAATGTGCCGCACTCGGGTCTGGCATGGGTGGCTGCTGTGTTACACGGAGGTTTTCACTCACCTCTTACGAGATGCGTGCCCCTCGGAACCGGTCCTTTCAGCCTCTGCAATTGGGAAGGGAGGTGCAGTGCTTTGACTGGGGAGCCGTTTTGAAACCCAGGAGTAGGCAGTATTTGGCACTGGTGGCAGTGGGACCAGAGGGGGAACGTGGCCAGCTGGGTAGAGGCTTGGTGCAGATCCATCCGAGGTCCAGCGTCCTGGAAACTAGTCTTCCAGAGGGTGAGGGTAAAACAGCAAGTCGGTGCGTGTCTCACTGGGGTTCATGAAGCCAGGACCTTGCACTGATGTCAATGCAGAGGATGAAAGATTAGATGTCGAGAAGCCATGTTCCAGGACAGATGTCTACTCGTGAGCTGCGGGTCATTCTGCAGGTCCCCATGTTAAGACAGAACCCCAGAGATGTTTGCAGCAGCTCCCTGATGCCTGACGTTACCCAGACCTGCCAAATGAACTTGCCATCTCTCTTCATGTAAGGTCGAAAATGAGGTCCCTCCCTGGAAATGATTTCAGTGGTGACCATCTCTTCGGGTTGAGTCTAAACTCCCTGCTACCTCCCAGGTCACAAGCTATAAGACCATATTTTAACCAAGGATGTGCAGAGCGTTCAGATTGCAGTTTCCAAGATTCTGGTCCCGTGTGAATTGACATGGATAGTATGGGTAAGAGGTTAAAGAGCTGGGAGTGACTTTATACACGGAAAGTAGCACAGCCTAAGCAACTAGGTGGGGCTGAGAGGTTCTTGGTAAGCTCCACGGGGGACTGGGGGAAGCCTGGCAGGAACTGAACATCCTTGAGGGCATAACTGATGCCACAAATAGGATTAATAGGGTTGTCTTGGTAGAGAAGGAAAAGGTGGCTGAGTGCCAGGCAAAGCCTTCCGGGCAGGGCAAGCCCAGAGTAACCTGCATGTCTTGAGACCTGCGAGATGGGACCTTGCGGTGCACCAGCCAGTGGACACTAAATTCCGTCCCGGGGGAAAGGGCGAGTGAGCCAGCAGGCCAGCAGCTGCCCGCGCTTTTACCAGCATCGCCTGCTGAACACCTAGTGGGCACATTAAATACCATCTTACTCTCCAAGCGATCGGAATCTTCCTTTATTTTCCCTCCTTGGGATGTCTAGCCACTAGATGGAGACTTAACAACTTGAATCTGATACCAAACAACAAAACAGCTGGCCATATGGCCGGCCCTGGGGTGTCTCAGTTGCATTCACATGACATTTCTAACGGGAAGGTTTGTAGAATGTTGCACTGTGAACAAGATGTGTTAACATGTGAAAGCAGACCGGACAAGGAACCAGGTGGTCTGGACGAGAGGCTGCTGCCACAACCTCCCAGCAGACATCAGGCACCAAGCCGGAGCTTCGGACGGGAAGAGCCTTCAGGGACGTGAGCTGACGTGTTCTGACTGACTGTGCAATGCCTCCTCATGCATGTGACAGAACTTCCTCTCGGCTCCGGGCTTCCCTTTGTAATTTGGTCTATTTCTCCTGTTAAATTTTTGAAGGGCCAAAAGCTACGTTCACTGAGTCTGCCCTGATTATATAATAGCTCCTGGCAAGGAAACAGAAAGAGGGAATCTTTGCAGCTGGGCTGCTTTTCTAGGAGATGCCCAGAGGCTTCTGTTGTGGATGCTTAGTCGAGAGCAAACGGGCCAGTGGGTTCCAAAGCCCAAGGACCCGTTGTACAACAGTATGAATCACGGACAGGAGATTTTTTAAATCGGTTGCTACCAATCTTTTTAGGCTAGCAGTGACCTCAGGTGTCCCCAGTGCCAAACAGTAGACAAAGTAAACATCTCCTGGAGACCCTTTATGTTTGTGGTCTCATATAGCCCTCCTCACCTTATGAGATAAGTACTAAAGCACAGGCAGGGGAAGTGAGTTCCCAGGATCACCCGATTGTAAGGGACAGCACGGATTCAAATCCAGCAGTCCAACCCCATGCTAGCCACCAGAAATCTTTTTTGGTAAATGTAATAGTCAGTTCATAATCCTAGCTATTTGGGGCGAGTTGGGCAAGGCGGTGGGGAGTAGATGAACTTGATGGTCCGTCTGTACTATGCATGACGTCTCTGCTTCACCAGGATGTGATGAATGAGAACACAGGGAGGGTTGTCAGGAGCCGTGGGGGACCAGAAGATACTCAGATGTTGTTCCAGCCCTGGCTGTAGCCTCCTCCATCAACTGGAGAAGGGGAGTGAGGGGCCCCAGCTCTTGACTCCTGAGTTTCCAGTATAAATTAGGACACATAATATTTTCCATGTTGGACCATTAAGAGAGTTAACAAGATAATTCTTTCATATCATTCAAACTCCAGGAAAGGATAGTATTGTTCAAATGAGGTATCAGTTCTTGGACACAGTTTATTTTATAGTTTGTATAGTTAGGAACACAAGTTGAAATCAACCATTTAGCATTCATCAAGTGTCCACCAGGCGTACTAGCAGCTGAGTTGCTCAGCTCCACCCATTTTAATGTGCTGAAGTGTGTATGTGGTTTTCCTAACAGGTGTAAAGAAACAATATACTACTATATGTAATATAGATGGGACATTGGCCATCTCTGGGTGGAGGTTTTATCCGGTATTTTATTGGGGATTGGATCCCAAGAAAAGGAAAGAAAAAAAATTTCCGTTCCTTGCATCCTTACAGGATGAATTTGTGGCACATCCACACTTGCTGGACATTCCACTGGGCACCACGCAGAGCAGTGCACAGACGTGGTCCAGGCTCTCGAGGAATGTATACTCAGAAATGTGTGCACGCTGATGGTTGGCTTCTGTTTTCAAATAGGCGTTGAAAGAAGACGCATCTATGACATTGTAAATGTGCTGGAGTCACTGCATCTGGTCAGCCGGGTGGCCAAGAATCAGTATGGCTGGCATGGACGGCACAGCCTGCTGCAGACCCTGAGGAACCTCCAGAGACTAGGGGAGGAGCAGAAATACGAGGAGCAGATGGCCTACCTCCAACAGAAGGAGCCAGACCTGATGGACTGTAAATTTGGAGAACGTAAAAAAGATGGCTATCCAGATCTCCAGGATCAACAGTTACTGGATTTCTCTGAGCCCGACTATCCCTCTTGTGAGTTCGCAGTGACCACATGAGTCAGAGCAGAGACAGCGAGGGTCTCTTCTGAAGAGACTGCTGAGGTGGAAGGTGCCAGGTTGACAGCCCTGCAGGAGGTGCCCTCTGATTCTCTCCACTGAAGGGAGGGAGACAGATGGCTCCCACCTGGGTTGCCCGCTCAGCCTCGCTGAAAACCTGTCTGGTGGCAGTTCGTTCGGTATTTGGTGTCCGGACCGTAGATCGTAACAGAGCGCCCATCTCAGACTGACAGCCCCATGCTGATTTCTGTTTGTGAGCCTTTAACGAAACCATACTTTGAAAGAGGTTATCGTTACAGTGAATTCCTCTTTCCAAGTTATATATTGGAGTTCGCACGTGTTGATTACAGAGATTAGACAAGCCCTGCTTTCGTCTGATGCAGAATTTTTCTGACTTACATCTACATTGGCCTTTCCTTCCCGACTCATTTTCCTTCTTCCTGTTTTAACCACTGATCTTCATCCTCTCCCTGGCTCCCCCTTTGCTGAGATGATTGAGTGCAAGTATCACTCGAATCTCCCTTGCAAAGTTAAATAGGAATGGAAAGTGGGCCTGGTTTTCATTCGATGTACTGCCTCCTGGGTTTTTGTTTCGCCCCATGAGCCGGTTCTTATCTTAATAACCAGGGAGACAGCCACCTGTCGGGGATGGTGTGCCTGCCATCCCCAGCGACACGTCTCAGACACTCCTATTCATTTGCAGTTTATTTCTTCACCTATCTCTGAAAAAAAATGGAAGAGGCGGGCACCTGCTGTGTTCACAGTATATTCTAGATCTACTGTCCGGACCTCAGAGCTCTTGTGGGCTTGGATCCAGCCCCCCACAATAAGACACCTCGTCACCTGCTGGTGGAGGGTTCTTGCCTTCAGCTTGTAAAAAAAAAAGGCAGTATCTCTGAGGCACAATCGCGCGCACTGCGATGAAACGAAGTCTGCTTGTGTGGTGGGCACAGAATTAAAGTGGAGTCCTCACCTTTGAGGGGAGAGCTGACGTTTGAGGGGAGAGCTGCCCTGCCTTTCCTCCTACATTAGTCCTGGCAAAGAGCTGCCTTAGAAAAACTACTCAGGCGTTCCATTCAACCGAGTGTCTGCGTAAAGCGGTAAGAGTGGTTTAACAGGCACATTTCAGTCTGTGCCTCCTGAAATTTTGTGAACGGTGAGAAAATCCGTCTTCTTTCTTTATGAGCCATCTTTTGTGATGTGTGTCCAGAAGGCTTCTCTCTCCAACAAAAGTGATCTTTCCATCTACGAGAAGAGATAGCTAGTTTTGGCAAACTGCAAGTCCAGTCTTTCCTGTGGGGAGTTATCTTTTCTGATGCCTTTGTTTCGTTCCCTTTGTAGCATCTGCAAACAGAAAAGACAAGTCCCTGAGAATCATGAGCCAGAAGTTCGTCATGCTGTTCCTCGTCTCTAAAACCAAGATTGTTACTCTCGATGTCGCTGCCAAAATACTGATAGAAAGAAGCCAGGATGCGCCGGACCACAGTAAATTTAAAAGTAAGCATCTTCCCCCAAATCCACCTGGCACAGAAGAGGTGGGACCTCACAGGGGAGGTTTCCTGCCTGTGAACGCGTGAGAATCAGTTGTTGGAGACGAGCCCTCCTCCCTGCATCCTGAGGCTCCCGGTGCTCTGAGAGGTGAGTTAGCCGCACACTGGAGTTCCCAGCGTCTGTCCTCCGCCGCTGGAGTGGACCGTGGGGCAGAACGCCATCCCCAGGTGCCGGTCAGGGAGGGTGTCAGGCACTTTCCATTTCTCTTTAGTCTTGCTGCCTCCAAGACAGAATGTCTGAGTCTTGTTTCCCCTTTTTTCCTCGCCCCCTGCTTACTCCTGATGGGTGGAGATGAAAGTTGTCCACAGGTAAGAACCGGAGGAGTGACCGAGTAGGGGAGGGTGGTGGGATACGGTTGCCGCCAAGGAGAGCGCTTCTGAGTCTCCTCCTCAGTGTGTCTTCCTCCCTGTCGAGCAGGGTCCTGAGCCAGATGCCCTTGGCTGCTGGTAGCCTTTTCAGCGCCTAGGAAGCCATGAGCTCGACATACTGTAGCTTTTTGTTTGTTCCAGTTGGAATTATAACCACCCTGTGGGAGAAATGACTAAATAAAATCTAGCTCTACCATGATTGGGAAGAAAATTGCGTCTGTGATGCTGTTTCTAGATGATAATCAAAGCTCCTTTGCTTGACCTTAGCCCTAAATGGGGTTTCCTACCTGTGAATTGATTTCTTAAGCAGAAATGACTTTGTGGGCATCGAGGTGCCTGTTTAATGTGTTACCACTACTTCGGAATGTGTCCTCTAGTCCGTGCATCTGCAGGTGTGTCTCCCCAAACCTCTGAAGACTCAGGGATTGTGTGCTCCGCCCCCCCCACCCCCCACCGGCAGCCAGGCTTTAGGGGGGGAACTGCCTGTCTGCAGCGCAGTTGTACCTGATCTTGAGCACTGAGCGCTGCAGGAGTGCAGCCTTGCAGGAAGCCCTGGGGAATCCCTGTCATTTCCACAGCCCGGCTGCCTGGTGGCGCTGGTGCCACAAGCTCCTGCTGGGAGAAACTCGGGCGAGCTTTCGACATGCCACATGTCAGAATCACGTCGACAAGCCTCTAATTGTAGCCTGTTCCCTCCCTCGGGTGTTCCGCAGCCATGGCACTCCCTGCTTGTCTTGTGAAGGTGTGAAGCTGTGGGAACGAAGGACACACCGACCTTCGGAGGTGTCTTCAGATACATCAGCTACATAAATCCTGGGTGATTTCCTGACAGAGCCATTGGTCATGTCATCCCTCCCCACTGCTTCCCCTGAGGTTTACACGGTGGCCAAGAAAAGTGACTGGTCACATAAAGAAACATGTGAGGGTGTCACAGGCAGGGTGACCGTTGTGTTTTATGTCTTCAAGCAAAGGTACGACGTCTGTATGACATTGCCAACGTTCTGACCAGCTTGGCTCTGATCAAGAAAGTGCACGTAACCGAAGAGCGAGGCCGTAAACCCGCCTTCAAGTGGATCGGGCCGGTGGACTTCAGCTCCAGCGGTGAGGCGTGGCTCTGTCCGGGACCTGTGTTCCTCACGACCCCAGTTCCTTTTCTCAGTCGTACATCTACAGAGCGAGAGCGAGCTTCATTTTCCATTGCCCAGCTCACATTCAGGGGACCGCGATGTCGCCTTGGGACAGTGAGTGCCGGGCCAGAACCGGCTGCTGTTGGCGTGCGCAGGAGGGGAATCCTGAGCGTTGTCACGCGGCGGCTTCTGTAACTGTTCGATGACACCTCTAGCATTTTCTGTTTTATTCGGAAGTTTTTAGCCTAGAAATTTGGGGCTGGAGATTAAAAAGGACACTTAGAAACTTCGGTTATGTCTACATTAGCAGGATGAAATATTGTTTTTCCTTGAAATTCCAGATAATATAAGAATGATATTAATTGCTATCACAAGACTAATGTGTGGTAAAAATGGCTTCTAAATAGAGGACAGTTGTCCTGAACGGCTTTTTTTTGGTGATTTATTTAAAAGGTTACAAATGTCAGTTTTACTAAACTAAAGCAAAAGAGGGTATTTATCTTCCACTATTTCACAGGTAATAGCTGAGCATTCGGGGACTGGGTCCTTCTGTACCAGCTGCTTTACATAGAACGAGGCTGCCTGGGAAAAGCCATTGAAGCTATTTTTAAATTACCCTTCCAATTTTGGTGTTAGTGGCATAAATTCCTGCCACTTAACCCAGGCTTATGAACGCTATAGCTCCCTGCCTAGTTGTAGCACATTATTCACTTAGGGGCTAAAGGAAACCACTTAAAATCCAGTGTAACTAATTCAGCCCGGCAAGTACCCACTGAATGTGCACAATTACTGTACCGAATGCCATGAAGATTTTAAGATGTGTGTGATGAGTCCCTGCCCCCGGGAAGTGAATAGCTTCGCCCTTTTCCGTTGCTCTGTCTGTGTCTTCTCTTCATCCTTTCACCAGCAAAGCCCTCTTCTTTCCGACATGAAAATATTCTGTCCACCTTTCAGGATCCGTCGCAAGCATCATCTCCCCCATAAAGCTTTCCCCATCACCCAGAGCCAGGGGGGTCTCATCTGCACACTCGCAATTCAGTGTTGTGCTCTTGTACTTGGTGATGTCAGTGTTATGCTGTTGACTCTGCTCTGTGCATTTGAGGGCAGAAGAGGTTTTTGTTCGTCTTTGATCACCTGAAGTACCCAGATCAGCGCCTTCCTCACTTCAGTTGGTTAATGAGCTTCTATTGAAGCTGTATAATTAGCACACATTTGAAACTTACAAAACAGGTAAGCACTACACACGGTGGTAGTGGCTCTGGAGGAAATCAGAGAGGACATGGGTTAAGTTCTGATGGCCTGTTAGGTTTTGGAGGGATGGAGAGTGTTGTAGTTGAAGGAACTGATACCCGGGAACAAATCTGGTTTGTGTTGGAGAGATCCTCCTGATTTGCGTGGAGGGTAGAGAATGATGAGAAATGAAATGTGATCCGCTGGAGCAGTGTTTCCCGAGGGCCTCAAAAGCTAAGCCAAGAAGTGCGTACTAGACGGAATGGACGGAAGTGACGGGTCTCTAGTAGGTGGAAAGAGAGGACTGACTCGAAGGTGGCAGTGTCATTGTGGGACAGGGGAGGTTGGGGAAGTGAGCTGGAGAAGGTGGCAGTGTCATTGTGGGACAGGGGAGGTTGGGGAAGTGAGCTGGAGCCGAGAAACCGAGCTCATGTGTTTGCATGGCCAGTGGCACAGCAGCTGGGAGAGCGCTGTCTGAGGGGAGAGGGCTTGGCCCCTGTCGGGAACCTCCAGGTGCACTTACGTCCCCTTCCTGCATTCCCTGGTCCCACAGACAGCACCATCCTCACCAACTCAGAAGTCAAATGTGGAGTGTCCAGTTACCTTTGATTCCTTAATGCCTGCTTCCCTCCTTGGTTAGCAGTTCCTCACAGTTAACGTCAGAGATATTTCTTTTCCTCTTATCCCTTCCCACCATCATGGCCTTTTCTTCCTTTTAACAGCTTTTTTCAGGGATCTTGACATAACAATAAATGGCGTGTGGTTCAATTACAATTTGATGAGCTTTTTCATCATATGCATCACAGTCGAGAAAATGAACCCACCGCCCTCCAGAGTCTCCCCCTGTCCCTTCAAAGTTCCTTCCATTCCGCCCCCACCCCCGTCCCTAGGGGAAACCACGGATCTGCTTTCTTTCACTCCAGATTTGTTTGTATTTTCTAAAAAATTTTATCAGTAAGTCACACACAGTCAGTGTTCATTATTCACAGATTCCATATTTGCAAATTTATCTACTAACAGAAATGTGTTTGTGTCTCCAAAATCAGTGCAGCATTTCCACAGTTGTTCTCAGATATGCAAAGAGTGGCGGGAATTTTGAGTTGTCAACACACACTTTTCCAGCTGGGGTCGAACAGGCCAAATACTATACTATCCTATAAACAAGCGTCCTTGTCGTGGTCTCTTTAATGCCACGCTTTCACGTGTGTGTACTTTGAGGTGGTAATTTCGCTATTTATAAATGGTTCCCAAGCTGTACTGAGGCAATATGTAGTGTTTCCAAGTGGTGTACCTTACAGAGAAAATACATATGTTAGAGGGGCTGCATTCAGGCATGACTTGCAGTGTTGTTGGCTGTGAGTTCAGGGTTAATGGATCAACAATATATATTCAATAAGGTGTAATGTATTGATCGGTTGACAAAAAATGTGTGGCCAGCTCACAGGAACCCAACCCTTCTAGGAGCAGTGGTTCAGTGTTTGCTAATTCATTGTTCATGCTGACTTTATAGAACACAAGAACCACAAATAACAAGAATAGACTGTACTCCGTATACTCTTTGTCGGGCTTCTCTCACTCAGCATAATTTATTTGGAGATTAATCATGTTGTAGCATGTATCAATAGTTTATTCCTTTCATTGCCAAAGGAGTATTCCATTGTATGGGTATATCATTCTTTGCCCATTTACCTGTAGATGGACATTTGGATCATTTCCATTTTTTGCCTATTACAAATAAAGCTGTGATGAATATTCATGTACAAGTCTTTATATGGTAGATGTGGACCTGCAGTTTCCTACATGAGAGGTTTTTAACAACAGGTTAAATTTTGCAAATAACTATAGGGTTATTCAGGTTCTCTCTTTATTCCTTTGTTCTACTTTGGGTTTGATTTTCTCTTTTTCTAGTTTCCTTTTTTTTTTTTCCCCTTATTGATTTTAGAGAGGGAGATGGGAACATCGATGAGAGAGAACATTGATTGGCTGCCTTCTGCATGCCCCCACTGAAAATTTGGCCCGCAACTTGGGCATGTGCCCCGACCAGAAATCGAACTGACCTCCTGGTGCATGGGTTGATGTTCAACCACTGAGCCACACCAGCCGGGCTTTTTCTAGTTTCTTAAAATAGAAGTGGAGGTCATTAACTGGAGACCTTGTTTCTTTTCTGTTAGCTACTTGGTACTATAAATTTCCCTTGTTATTGCTGTACCACAAATTTTTATTGTCTTCAGTCTTCCAATTCAGGATACATTGAAATTTACCTCTTGATTTCTTTTCTGATCCACAAGTTATTTAGATGTGTGTGTGTGTGTTTTTTAATTTAATGAATTTATTTATTTTTGTTACAGATGTTTCTCCTTTTTCCCCCACTGATTCTCCCCTCTCCTCCCCCTTCCCCACCCTGTCCCCAGCTTTGTTGTCCATGTCCACTGTTCATGCATACATGCATATAAGTTCTGTGGTTTATCTCTTCCCCACTACCCCCTCTTCTGGGGATTGTCAGTCTGTACCCCACTTCCACGTCTCTAGGACTACCCCATTCCTCAGACTGTTATGTTCATTATATTCCACAAATAAGTGAGATCATATGATACTTGTCTTTCTCTGTTTGGCTTGTTTCGCTTAGGATGACACTTTCCAGGTCCTTCCACATCCTCTCGAAGGATAAGAGATCTTTCTTTCTTACAGCTGCATAGTACTCCATTGTGTATATGTACCACAGCTTTCTTATCCATTCGTCTACTGATGGACATTTGGGCTGTTTCCAGATCTTAGCTGGTATAAATAGTGCTGCTACGAACATGGGGGTACATATATTCTTTCTGATTGGTTTCAGGTTTCTTAGGGTATATTCCTAGAAGTGGGATCACTGGGTCAAATGGAAGTTCAATTTTTAATTTTTTGAGGTAACGCTATATTGTTTTCCATAGTGGCTGCACCAGTCTGCATTCCCACCAGCAGTGTATTAGAGTCCCCTTTTCTCCACACCCTCACCAATACTTGTTGTTTAATGACCCTCGCCAATACTTGTTGTCTGATGATTTGTTGATGGCGGCCATTCTGACAGGTGTGAGGTGATACCTCGTTGTTGTTTTAATTTGCATCTTTTGGATGATTAGTGATGTTGAGCATTTCTTCATATGTCTCTTAGCCATTTGTATGTCCTGTTTGGAGAGGTGTCTATTTAGTTCCTCTGCTCATTTTTTAATTGGGCTCTTTGTCTTCCTTTTGTTGAGTTGTATGAGCACTGTATATATATTGGAAATTAACCCCTTATCTGACATATCATTGGCAATGATGCTCTCCCATACAGTGGGTTGCCTTTCCATTTTGATGATTGTATCTTTTGCTGTGCAGAAGCTTTTGAGTTTGATGTAGTCCCATGTGTTCATTTTCTCCTTTGTTTCTGTTGCCTTAGGTGATGTATCAGTGATAGATGTGTGTTTTATAGTTTCCAAATATTCTGCGATTTTCCAGACATTTTTTTCTTCTTGATTTCTAATTTCATTCCTTGTGGGCAGGGAATATACTTTGCATAACTTGAATCCTTTTAAATTCACTGACGCTTGTTTATGATACAGATATGATCTCTCTTGGTAAATGTTCCATGTACACTTAAAAAGAATATACAATTTTGCTTTGTTGGGTGATGTGATCTGTAAATAACAACTAGGTCAAGTTGGTTGATAGTGTCTAATTTTTCTATATCCTTATTGATTTTATGTTTACTTGTTCCATCAGTTATCATAGGCTACCTTCCAATTTTATACTATTTATACTGCATAAAAACCTTGCAGTAATGTATCTTCATTTCTCCCTGCTTGTCCTATAACTGTTGTTACCAAACATTGTACTTGCTCTATGTTTTAAACCCTGTAATTCATTGTTACTATTTTTGCTTTAAACAATTGATTGTCTTTTAAGAGATTTTAATAAGAGTGGAAAAGTGATATCTAGCCATGTAGTTACCGTTTTTGGTGCTTATCATTCCTTTTTGTAGGTGAAAGTTTCTATCTAGTATCATTTTTCTTGTCTTTTGGACATTTCTTATAGAGCAGGACTGCCTATGATGAACTCTTCCAGCTGCTATTTGTCTAAATGTCTTCACTTCACTTCACTTTTATTTTGAGAGATATTTTAGCTGGGCACAAAGATTCTAGGTTGAAGGTTTTTTCTTGCAGCACTTTGAAGAAGTTGCTCCAGTCTTCCAGCTTGCATTGCTGCTGCCAGGAAATTCACTCTTGTCCGGTTTCTTGTATGTAATGTATCTCTTTCCTTTTCTCTGGTTGCTTTTAAGATTGTTTTTATGACTGGTTTTAAGCAATTTGATTGTGTGTGCCCTGGTGTACCTTTCTTCATCTCTCTTGTCCTTGAGCTTGGTAAGCCTAGATACATGGATATAAAGTTGTCATCAAATCTGGCAATTTTCAGCCATTATTTCTTTGAATATTTTTTCTGTCCCCCTCCTCTCTTGTCCTTTGGAGTCTCCAGATATGCTTACATTTGGCTGCTTGAAGTTGTTCCACAGTTCACTGTCATTTTATTCATTTCTTTCCGTCTTTTTTCTCTGTTTCATTTGGATGGTTTCTGTTGCTTTGTTTTCACGTTCACTGTTTTTTTTTTCTGTAACATCTAATTTTTCATCAGTCCCATTCACTGTTATTTTCATCTCCAACATTGTCATTTTTATCACTAGAATAAAAATAGGCCGTGGGCCTTCATATTTTCAATGTTCAGTCTCTCCTTTACATGTTCAGTCATTCCTTCCACTTTCTGAATGTGTGGAATCCAGTACAGTAACCGTCAGTGTGCTCGTCCACTCTGTCATCCGTGTCACACTTGAGTCCATTTTAATTTATTTTTATCATTACTGTAGGTTATATGTCCCTGCTTCTTTGTATACCTGGTCATTTTTAATTATATGCCAGACAGCGAGAATTATATGTTGTCAGATACTAGACAGTTCTCTATTCCCAAAACTGTTCTTGAGCTTTGTTCTGGGATACAGTGAGGTTGTTACTCAAACAGTGATCCTTTTATGTCTTGCTGTCAGGTTTTGGTAGGCAGGATCCTATCAGCATTTAATCTTAAGGACATTGTCCCCACTATTGAAACAACACATTTTTTAATATTCTAACCAGTGACGCATGAATTATGAGAGTTTTCACTCTGGCTGTTGGCAACAAGCACTATTCCCAGCCCTGTATGAGCCGCAGGCACTGTTCCTTCTGCTCCTTTTAGGTGGTTCTTTCCCCGGCCTTGGGCGGGTTTCTCACTGTGTGAGTGCTCCACTGAACACTCAGGGGTGCCTTCTGCCCCTCTCTAGCATCCTCTTCCTTCGTGGCTCCTCTGCAGCACGTCGTCGTACAAACTCGAGCTGCTTCCCTGGCCTCCCAGCTCCATCCTCAGCATGGGGAGATGTCCATGCTCTCTGGGTCCCCCTTTCTGCACCCCAACCTGGAAACATCCTCCAGGCAGTAAACGGGGGCAATCATGGAGCGCACCTCACTTGACTCCTGTCTCTAAAGGATCGTTGTCTTTCATATCCTGATGTTCAATGTCTTGAGAGCCGTTGTTTTATATATTTTGTTCAATGTTTCGATTCAGGAAGGAGGAGAACTGCGATCCCTGTTACTGTCTTGACCCATTTTCTTCTTTTTGATTCAGTAATTTCTGATTTTCTAAAAAGGACATTTATTGGCTTTTGTTATAAGAAAGAGAAAACTATAGAGGTGATTTTCAATTTTTGTTTTAGAGAATGTAAGTGTAGCTGGGCCTTTTAGTCTATTTAATCACTCTTACTAAAACATGCATGCTTTGAGCTTAGGAAAAAATAGCCCAGCCCAGATGAATAAGGTAGGGGTAACTGTCTGAGCAACAGGGACTATTTCTATATAGAAATATAGGCCGGGCTCTATGTAGAAATTCTGTCCTCACCTCATATAGGAAAGGGCCTCTAAGTCCTAGCCTTTTACCATCCTACTGTTCTGCAGCATTTTGACCAAGAGGTTTCTGCTGACCTTATTTCTTTGACCACTTAGTAACAGAGCCTCCTGCTGCACAGGAAAGAAATAATAAAGCAATAGAAATTCTTACATTTATTGCCCTAGAGCTATGGCATAAGAGGCTGATTTCAATAACATTAAAATCTCAAAATATGCATGTTGGGCTGGGCACATCTGGGTCTTCCTTTGATACTCTCTGCCCAAAGGAAATTTCAGGTCCATTCTAATTTGAGGTGAAGAACATCTTGGTCTACTTTGGTTGCAGTTTAGATAATTTCAGAATATATGTGGAGTTCGTCTCACTTTATAGTCATCTACTCACTTTTTAAAAAATCTGTACATCAAAAGAAATTGGGGTTTGAGAAAGGCTCATAAAATTTCTTTGAGGGTCTTAGCTTTTAATTAATAGGGTAGTTTCATTACAATTCCAGGCTCTCAAAGCCATATCCTAAAAAGGGTAAAATTATCCTGAATTATAGCTGTATAACAACGCTGCCCAATCTGCCCTTTGTTTAGATGAAGAAGTAGCGGATGTTTCTGCATCTGTCTTACCAGAAATGAAAAGAGAAGCGTGTATCGAGATCCAGGACTGTGCAAAACAGAAGCTGGCTCGGCATGGTTCTTTTAACACAGTTCAGGCTTCTGAGAGGATTCCCAGGAAGGCGAACTCAGAACCCAGCAGCCCTTCCAGAGAAGAACAAGGTATCTATCTGCCTTGCCTTAATCCAAGGACTCCGGCATTTCATGTAACTGTAGCCTTACCCGAGCACTGGCACTTCTACTTGAACTGGCTAGGCCCTGCCTGTTTTTTCACTTACCCGAAGTGAAACAGTTACGGGTAGAAGAGTGCAGGTTGTGACCATGGGCACATTGCTTGCCATTGATCCTGCTCTGCCTCAAAGGTCCATCAGCTTGCACGGTTAGCCTGTTGGATGCATCTCAAAAGTTTATTCAACTTACAAAGCAATACTTGTTTTGTTTTGTTTTTCTTTCTAAGTCTTGATGAGACCTGAATTTACCATTAACAGCTAACTGCTGAAAATTTCTCTCTTTGAATCCAAACCAGAATGGATTTGAGATAGTTTTATAATCCCTGAGTTTTGAATAATGAGTTCTGCTGTATACAATTGGTACATATAAGTCTCTTGCTGTAATTATTAGACCTTCATTTTTCTTTATAGGATCAGGTGGCTTCTCCTTAGAAATTGGCAGTCTGGCAACTGTTTATCCACAGAAAATAGAAGACAATTCACAGTAAGTAGTCTTTTAAAAGTTCTGGATGTATTCTTTTCTATTTCCTAGTGTTAACTTTGACTAAATTGAAATGCCACTCATTGAAAGATAAATTTTAGCAATATGGCTCATAAGTCACCATTTATTAAAAGTTCTGTAAGTTTTCCCTTTCGGCAAAACACTGTGCAGAATGAAGTATGGAGGACACAAAAGTACAAAAAATGTATTCCCTAAGCTATGAAGGCTTATAAGGAAAAAATAAAAAACAAAAACAAAAAACAGCCCGGTCTGTGTGGCTCAGTGGCTGAGCATCGCCCCATGCACCAAGAGGTCACTGGTTCGATTCCCAGTCAAGGCACATGCCCAGGTTGTGGGCCAAATCCCTAGTGGGGGGCATGCAGGAGGTGGCCAATCAATGTTCTTTCTCATTGATGTTTCTATCTCTCTCTCCTTTCCTCTCTTTCTAAAATCAATAAAGGAAAAACAAATTAAAAAAAAAAAAAACCCTGAAAAAAGACAAGTCACTACTGATGTGACACTGAGACACAATGCGTCATACATGACTCGCTTTGTCATCATGGTAACATGTGACTGCCGGGTACTGTTCCAAAAGTTTTATGTATATTGATTCATCGTAACAGCCCTTTGGCCCTGGCCAGTTTGGCTCAGCAGTTCGAGTGTCGGCCCACAGACCAATGAGTTGCGGGTTTGATTCCGGTCAAGGGCACGTACCTCGGTTGCGGTTCGTTCCCGGCCCCAGTTGGGGTCATGCGGGAGGCAGCCACTCAGTGTGTCTCTTTCACATTGATGTTTCTCTCTCTTTCTGTCTCTTTTTTTTCTCTCCGTCTCACTCTATCTGAAGAAAAATGGAAAAATTTCCTCGGGTGAGGATAAAACAAAACAAAACCAATTTTTTGAGGTTGGTACTGTTATCTTCCTTTTACAGACATCACATGTTGTCAGAGGGAGCAGAGAAAATGTTAAAGAAGGAACAAGACACGTTTTTAACGACAGATGTGGGAAGAAACAGATTCTGAAGCAGGGTCAGGGAGTGGGGGCACAATAAGCAGGTTCAAGATAATGATTTATCCAAATAGAGTGAAAGGAAATACCGTTCAGGAGAGGAGCATGGGGTGTGGGAGGTAAGTAGGCCAAGTTGGCAGAAAGCTTTGAAGGTCAGAGAGAAGAGTTTGAGTTTATGAGACAGACGGTACAGAACTGTTGCAGATTCACTGGGGAAGACCATTCTGGCTGCTTTAAGCAGGTGAGACTGGAGTAGAGAGAGTTCTCCAGGTGAGCAGATCACAGAGCAGAGCATTTGCGGTCATTCTGGTCTGCGGTGCAGGCCTGAGCCAGGTCAGCCGGAGGGGAAGTAGAGTAAGGGTGAGTCAGGAGACCTACCAAAGCAGAAGGAAGCATCGCAGAGAACACCTGGGTCTCGTGATGGTGATAGTGGCAGAGATGGAGAGGCTGGTGGATGGTGTACTCGGTGTGGACACATGGAGTCTTGCAGAGCTGAGTAATAGCTGAGAGGAGGCCGTAGCTGAGACTGACTCGTGTCTGCAGCCCAGCGCGCTCCATTGTATTCCTAGCAGCACAGTGGACAATGAGATGTGGGCAGAACTGGGCTGAGCGACTCCTTAGGAAAGGTTTCGAGAAACCCCTGTCCTCTGTTTACTAGTTCCTAAAGAACTCTCACAAGGATTTTCCTCCTCTATTTCTAAAAGTATACCGAACATACAAACATTTTTTTTAGTATTTGGGAACTTTTCTATATTAAAGGCCAGACATTGTTTATAATCTCACCTATTGATGGGCCTTAATTTTGAATGTGTGTTGCCTAGAAATTCCATAGTGATACTGAGCAGAAGGGGAGAAGAGTGATAGAAAGTGATACTTCTGTAGAGAAGTGTATTTCCTCACTCACTGCCCACTTCATTTATCTCACAGTGGATTCGAGACGAACAGGATGTGTCCTTGAAATCAAAGTCTGGCCCTAGTGACTGGACGTGAGGCCCAGCCAGCTGGCCTTCGGCTTTGCTTCCGAACTTCAGCTTTGCTCTCTAGTACACTGAGGGGAATGAGAGTGGCTATCAACATTGTCATAATTACGTAAACTATCATAAAATTACACTAATTATCACAGAATCTGCGCCTGTACGGGGTGGGTGCTGGGTAACTGATAACTAGGAGACGTGGACGAGGCAGGTGAGCCCCCAGTATTAGCTCTAACCTGAGATCCTCCCAGAGCGACTCCCACATCAGCTCCCCCATCCCTAACGTCCATCCTGGTTAGGCCTGGTCATCTGCCTAACTCTGCAGTTAGGTTAGCTCATGTGCGTTCAGGGAGTATGCTTTTGTATCAGCCTGAGCAGTATTCTCTCACCCCTGCTTTGGCGTCTCTTCACAACAGCTGTCAGGAGATGGTGGAATGTGGTAACTCAGTGCTTTCTTTTTATTACAGGGGGAAAGCCTTTGACAATGAGAGAGGGATGCTTCCGTCAAGCACCCCGGACCCCGCTGCTCCTTTCCCTGCCCACTCCGTTGACTCGGAATACTATGCCAACCCCTCAGTCCACCAGGTGGTGTCTGCGCCTCAGGCGGACTTGCAGGCCTTCTCCCTGCAAAATGGTCTGAATGGACACGTAGGCGTCTCGCTCACTGCTGCGGCCTCAGACGCGGAGAGCCTGAAGCCAGTGCTGCTGGCCGGCCAGCCCCTGTTGTACGTGCCGTCCACCTCTCTGTTCATGCTGTGTGGGAGCCTGCAGGAGGGACCGTCCCCAGGGCCCGGGGCCGAGGGGGACAGCCGGAGCTCAGAAGTGTCCGCAGGGACGGAGTGGCCGTCCACACCTGCAGCTCAGAAGCGCCCCAGTGAGGAGAGGAAGCTGCGAGAGGCGGAGGAGCCGGCCACTAAACGACAGAGTAGGGACGGCGGAGACAGCCCTCTGTCTCTTGTCGTGCCCAAGGTAGGTGGTTTGGCTGGGCGTGTTTAGTGACGTCCCGATAACGGACCGCTTCTTTCTGACAAGAACACACTGATGTTAATAAGCTACTGAGTCTAGAATATGAGGTATTTCGGATGTCGCTTGTCTAATTAAGCCCTAAACTAGCTATCCCCCAAAAAATCTTGCGGAAAGTAGTCCCGTAAGAAAAGTGATTTTTATAGAAGTCACACTGTATAAAATGATAAAAGGTTTAAAGAAAAAAATTCTACCTTTAATGTCACCCCAGAGAGGCGATCACTGTTGACACATTTCTGTACTTCCTCCCAGTCTTTCTGCTGTCCTTCTGTTGTAACTTCTTTGAGATCACGGAAATAGTCTCAATCCAGGACGCAACTAAGCTCCAGAGTCAGGAAGGTGGCAGCTGTTTGACTTTCAGAGTCTGTGCTTGGTCAATTAGCATCTCTGCTCAGACACCCCATTCCCCTGGCCACGAAATGAAAAGAACAAAACTAGGAGCCGTCCACATGTCCCGCTTAGCAGCCGTGCGGAGGTTAGTGAGTGTGACCAGTGAAGGTCTCAGAAGGGAGCACACTCGTCACAGCAGTCTGTCGTGGGTTGGCTAGGCACACTTCATGGAAATCAGTTCATTAATTCAGACCCTTCCTCTTGCCAGAGTGGATTTCGCTACATGTGTATGGTTGCAGAACAGAAGTCAGAGACTGCCTGGTATATGCCTTAGATAACCAAGACAGCTTTGGGCCTCCCCGCAATTCCTATCAGGCCCTGAAAAGACTGTGGTATGGGCACCCTTCGTGGTAGCAGCTCAGAAATTTGTTTCACAGTCTGAACACCGTGGCCGTTTTCCATTACTCAGTCACCTGTGTGTGTGAGACAGGACATTGCTTTTCAGACCATTCCTGTAAAATGACAGACCACACAGACACCGATCACTGTGGCGCACAGCTGTGTCTGACCTTTCTGTGTATACGTTAGCTATTTTCATAAAGCTGTTACTAAGATTTGTCGCTGAGGTTTTGACTTGTTTTCCTGGTTCTGTTTGGTTGTGCTTAGAAACCCTCGGATTCCACAGACTTCGCCTCTCCCAAGACGCTGGGGAACAGGGGATCTGTGCCCCTGGAGAACGTGCACTCGAACAGCCACCCCACTGCTGCACAGGAAGTTTGGGGAAAGGCAGCAAACGGCTTCGTTTCTTCTGAGTGGGGAGATCCTTCAAGAAATGCAGAGACCGAAACACCTTCGAAAGAGAACGAAGGCACCCAAGAGCCCCCTTTGCTGCAGTACCTTTACGTGCGGTCGCCGGCTGGTAAGGGATGGCGCCACGTCTTAAAGTCCCTGGGGGTAGGCGGACCACTCACTGGATTTTTAAATCTCTGTGTCACCCAACCAAAGCCGTGCAGTGGTGAGCTGTCCTCTGCAGCCTGAGTCAGTTTAGTCTCCATCCTCTTGTTTCCTCCGTCGACGACCCAAAGGGAGAGCTGCCTGCACTGCACCAACCTCAAGGATAATGGGAAAATAGTTAGGGCAGGTGATTTTTTTAAAAAAATGCTTTAAACTTTATTTGCTGAAAAAGCACAACAGCCCTAGCCAAGTAGCTCAGTTGGTTGAGGCATCATATCGTACACCAAAAGGTTGCAGGTTCAATTCCTGGTCAGGTTGTGGGTTTGATCCCCGGTTCAGGTGCGTGTGGGAGGTAACCGATCAATATTTCTCTTTCATATCGATGTTTCTCTCTCACCTCCTTCCTCCTTCTCTCTCTCTAAAATCAGTAAAAAACATTTCCTTGGGTGAGGATTAAAAAAAAAATTTTAAAAGCACAACTAACTTAAAAGACGATTCTATTTTTATAGTTCAGCCGAGTCTGGCATTTTCGGTGTGACAATATGAACTGTCGGCCCCCGTGTGTGCCTAGTATGCTGATCTCTGGAATATCCAGGAGGACTGGGCATGTGCCTGAGCCAGGCCAGGGCTGGGGCAGAGGGCTGGGTGTTCAAACCACTTGTCACCTTTGGAACTCGAGATGCGTATGCACCCCTCCTCCACGGTACAACCCCAATAATAACAGCACCTGCTTCATGGGAGGGCGGGGCACTGAGAGATTAAGTGAAATTTAGTAAGATACTATATCTAGAGCATTTAGAACAATAGGGCCTGGCATTTAGTAAGACTCAGTAAATGCTGTTACTATTTTGAAATAAAGCTGAAACAGAATAGGTGCCTAAGTTTTAGGTATATATAGTGTGCATGGAGCTGTTCTTGATGCAAAGAGACTTACTGATTTTCCTCAGTTCCCTGTTCGCTTCACAGGTTAGGTAGATATTAGTTATTACTCACTCCTAGAAAACATTCTTTATTCCTTTAGCAGATATCTTGGAGAGTTTAATCGAAGCATGGCACTCAGTGTTATGGACACTCTGAACAAAAGCAGGCTGGCCCTGCTCCATGTACATGACAGCCAGCACAGGGATGGTTCGCCTCCTCCGGGCCGTGGACCCTTTGCCACCCTGGGGATTCTCCTCACTATGTTCACAAGTGCATAGAACATAGGGATTACAAAGGAAGCCAGTTATATTGAAATATAGTTAGAAAAACATTTTTAAAAGTTTATTGATTTTATTTTAGAGAGAGAGGAAGGGAGAGAAAGAAACATCGATTGGCTGCCTCCTGCATGCCCCCTACTGGGGTTCAAGCCCGCACCTCAAGCATGTGCCCTGACCGGGAATCGAATCAGCAACATTTTGGTGTACAGGGCGACACCCAACCAACTGAGCCACAGCAGCCAGGGCAGAAAAATGTGTTGTTTTTATTATAGTAATAAAAAGATGTGACAGAAAATCCAATGCTGTCATAATTTCAAAGTTGTGATGAGCCTAACAGTCTTCGGCAATCTGCCATAGCTGCAGTGTTTTATGAATACATCTGTGCTTTTTGTCTATTGACAAAGTCAAGGTGCTATTAATACTGTTGTGATGTGCTGCCTATTGTCTTAACTGAGGGGAGTATCAATTTCAGCGGGAAGTCTGTATAAGTAAAGATAGTTTTCCCCATCTGAGTTCATGTTCCTCCTCGGTTTGGATTCGGTGGCACTCACATTTGAAAACCCTCTGAGGAGACGCAGGTGGGAATGTGTGAGGCTCAGTCGGAGCCGCCGCTGCGAAGAGGCTGGGAGGGCAGAGGGGTTTGACCTGCTCGCGGGGGGTGAGTCATCGTGGGCCGTTTGCAAGGGCCCTGCGACTGTGAGCTTGGGTGGCGTCCGCGTGGCGTGCTGACTTTTGCCTTGTTCTGCTTCTGTTTCAGGATTAAATGGTCTCAGCGTGCTCTTACCCGGCAGTCAGAGCCCCCATGTTGGGGGACCCTCTTCGGGTCAGCTCCCATCCCTCGGTGTCCCTTACATGGTCTTACCATCTTCGACACTGGGCCCATTTCCTGTTCTCTACTCCCCCGCAGTGGCTGGGCCGGTTTCCTCTGCTCCTGGCACTGTCCCAAACACGGGACCTGTGAATTTTGGCTTGCCAGGCCTTGGATTGGCACCTCATCTTCTCATCGGCCCTGCAGCCGTGGTTAATCCAAAACCCTCCACGCTCCCTTCTGCAGACCCTCAGCTTCGGGGTCTGCACTCCCTTAGCCAGAGTCCAGTGGTGCCCAGATCACACAGTGTCATCCAGCCAGAGTCGCCGGTTTACGATGGGTATCCAGTCCCTGTGGTGAAGTTACAGCAGGTGAGTCCAAAGTTTCATTGAAGACTTTTGTCACCTGTCAGCTGGACAGAGGCTCTAGGGCAGGTTCCACCAGCTTCCATTGTAGACCCAGAGGTATGTGCTTCATTTACAAAGCACGAAGGCCTAAACCAGGAGATCCATGCTTTAAAGACAAAAACATTTATTAGTTTTTTATTTACTTATTTATTTATTTTTAATGTTTTGTTGACTTTTTAGAGAGAGGAAGAGGGAGAGAGAGAGAAACATCATTGAGAGATCAGCGGGCTGCCTCCTGCACGCCCCCTACTGGGGATCGAGCCCACAAGCCGGACATGTGCTCTCACCAGGAATCAACCAGGACCTCTCAGTCCATGGGGTGATGCTCAGTCCACTGAGCTACACCGGCCAGGCTGGCCAGAAATACTTAAACATGTTATTCAGAGGCTCAGAAGTTTGGTAGACACTGAAATAAACATGTTAGTTTTTAAACAAGGCGATCATAACATAACATATGCTTTTTGATCACCAGTTATGTGCCAGGCACTGATCTAGGCAGTGAGGCTAGAGCAGTGAACAGAATAACAGTCCCTGCCCTTTTAGGAACGTTAAGGGGATAAATATTTAACATTTAACAGGGAGGATAAATATTAGTAAACAAAGAGAACCAAGACACATTACTATTTGCCTAGCATGCTGTAAGTATTGCATTGCTCAATTTTTACAACCCTCTGAAACTGGTTCTTTTATTATCCCCATTGTTTGGATGAAGAAACTGAGGCACATACTAATTAAGTCATTTGCCCAAGGTCTCACAACTAATTATGGCAGAGCCCAGACCCTGGCTCCAGGTGCCACGCTTGTGAACTCTTTGCTAGGCTGCCTTTCTGAACACAAAATAAAGTAATTAATTTCCAACTGTGGTAAGTGTTGAGAGGATACCTTGGATGAATGGGATAGAAAAGCAAAGCGGAGGGAACACCTGCCCTGGAATCTTAATGACACAGGGCTGGGCTTCCAGTTCAGAGATTGAGAACAATCCGACCTCAGCTTTTATTTACTCTTTTTTTCTTTCGTAGTCACCAGCTCCAGTGACCCCCAAGAGCATCCGACACACACATCAAGAGACATTCTTCAAGACGCCCGGCAGCCTCGGAGACCGTGTCCTTAGGAGAAGAGAGAGCAAACAGTCGCAAAATGCCAGCTCGGTGCAGAGGAGACTCGAAATACCCAGCAGCGGGGCCGACTAGCCTGATGCCCTGCCAGATGGGGGTGGCATCCGACCACCTGGATTTCCCAGTGTCACAGGCCGTGTCCCGACGCGGGAGCGGAAGGCAGAATGCACACCAGTGCGCCTCCTTCTTTCATCCACTGGTTCTAATGTTAACTTCCCAATGCTGTCTGTTTCCTGAACGTCACTGTTACTAATTATGCATTTGTTACCAGTGAGAGCCAGACTCTGTGCCTGGTGTCACAGTGAAAGCACCAGCTGACCTGGGGTTGGGCTTCAAGGATTCTCTTATTGCCGGAAGTAGATCTGAACGGGCTACTGGAGCCTTGTGGTTTTCCTAAAGGTGGGGCCTGTCTAGCACTTAGCCAGTGTGAGCATTCTCGACATGTGTGTCCACTTGCCCTGAGTAGATCTGTGCTGAGAGAACCTTGCTTCCTGCAGTTTACAAAGCTACTGCTTCGTCAGGAAGGCGGCTCCAGCTGTGAATCCTGTGGTGTTATTTATTTTGTTCCTGAAACGGGACTCAATGCGAAAAGTTTACAAGTACAGCAAAGCATGCTTTTCAGGGTATGACGACGTGAATGTTTGTACTTTCCCCCTATAACTTGCCCTGCACTTACTTTACAACCCAGCGATAATGTGGATAAGCGTGTACACATGACAGAATGTCACGACCAAAATAACTGTGAATGGCACACCTTGCCGTGATGAACTAACTGCGAACCCCCTCGGCCGAGCGCAGAGGAACCCGACAGCCTCGCCGCCGCTGCTCGACGAACTGGACGGAAAACCCTCTGCGTTCAGCCGCCTTCACTACATGCCCCTGTGGGTTTGTTTCTTTTTTTAATTTCGATGTTAACTGTGGAGCGACAGGTATGGATGCCGTCTGACAGTTGCTGTTTATTGAGTCAGTGTTGGAAAGTAATTGTATGGAAAATTGGAGCTTGAAGAGGACCTTTGGGTAGAATTCTGGAGTTAATGTAGAAATTGATAATAAGACAGTCGGTGATTATTTTTTCTCTTTTTTTCTTCAGTTTGGAAGGGTACAAGGAAAGGGGCACATTATGTTTAGTATCAAGAGGACTCAGATCAGAGTTACTTTCAGAGGACTTCTGGAAAGTAGGAACGGTGAGCGCAGTGGCTTGTTCTGGCGTGAGGAAGGTTCTGGCGACGCCTTGTCCCCCTGTGCTGCAGCCCTCCGGGGTCTCCGCGCGCAGCGGCCGGGTCTTCACGTGCCCAGACTTACTGAATTACCTCGCCCCTGCCTCCAGAACCCAGGGCCGCCCTCTTTCCTTCCCTCCCCTTTCGTTATTCCTTTCTCTTCTTAAAAAATTTCTGTCTTAGATTCGGAATCTTGGTGTAGGGCTGAATTTTATTTTTAGACCCAACAAAATGTTATATGAAAGAATAAAAATATTAATTTAAGAGACTCTGGGAGTCTGCATCAAGTAGCTTTATGTTAACTACAGGATAATATTAGCCTTATTACCCCCACAAGATTTTTTAAAAACTAGAGGTAGGTAGTCAGAAAAAGTAAATTTGCTACTATATAAAATTTTTATTAACACTAAACTTTTAAAGTTTACAAGATGCTATTCTCCCCCTCCCCCCCCTTTTACAACCTTTTCTAGAGTTGAAGAGATAAAAATGTTCAGTCATCAACAGTTACATGGTGATAATTACCTTGAACTACTATGATGGGTTCCCTGTGGAGACATAAAGGACGCCTTTCGCAGGACACATGCGTCTGAATCTACAGAGGGTGCAGTTTCGATCTCCTGTGCTTAAGATTTCCTCTGCACATGTTCACTGGAGAGGTCTACACTTAGAACACGTGCTGATTTTCCCCCTCACTGGCCTTAGGTGTTCTTCCCTTTAACTTTACTATCCTTCTCTCACAATTCTGCTCATGATATGACCTCATAAACCTCAGAGAATTCACGGTTCTTGGGTGTTAGGAAGCAACCCCATAAATGAGAATAGTATGACTGTGACCACACGTAGCCATATGAAACGAAGAACACACACCTTTTGTATCCAGCACCTGCTTCTTCCCGTGGCCGTGATGCGTGAAAGCAGTAGCGCAGGGGTGGCGGTTTCTGTCCCCATCATGGATCGCTCTCTTAAAGGGCAGCTGATGTCAGGGCAGCTGCTGAGCTAGACCTGGGGTCCGGGGCAGGGACGCAGCAGTGGCAGTCTGGAGTCCATGATTGTATGATTTAGTGAGAGGAAATGATAATTGGTAATCCTGCTAAAGGAAATGCAGCTCTGAGTTGGCACTGAGGAGGGTGTATGCCCGACACTGTCCAGGGTTTGTGAAACCCTTTCATTCTGGTACAAGAGTTGGGGGTGTAATTTTTATACTTGAATCTACCTACCAAGTTTACATGCGTCAATTCCTTTTTGGAAGGTGCTGTATCTGTATTTAAGTAACATTTTCTTTCCGTGTAAAGCTGCTTTCTGCTTGTTTCATTGCACTGCTAGTTTTATGTAGGTGTTAATTTTATTGCTGCTTACTGCTTTTGTTTTCATATCTAGTTCTTTTTTTTATTTTCCTAATGGCTATGTTATCTATAGCTGTTTACTTGTAACTTGACTACATGTAAACTCATTCTTTTTCTTTTAGAAAATTATTAAGCTTTATAAAACAGCAATAAAAATGAAGGGATGGTGGTTCGGAATCTTGGTGTAGGGCTGAATTTTATTTTTATTTTATTTGTTGGACTTTCTGTGCGTGCCGTTTTCAGGAAAACCACAAACAGTTGCAGCATCGCCAGCAGGCCCTCGTGAACCCAAGTCAGATCTTTCCGCTGAGATGCTCCGGTGATTCCAAACTCCAAAACTTCCTGTTTCCGAATGACACGGGAGCTTGGGAGGGTTCAGGGATGATGCTATTAAGCTTCTGAATTCTGAGTTAGAATCTGCAGGTTTGGAGCTCCCAGTGATTCTGGTCCTTACGTGATATAAGAATCACAGGTGAATGCAGACCACCTCCCTGCCCTGCTCGTGACATCTGTGAGGTTAAATGCTTCTCCATTGAGCAAATGCTCACCTTGAGCTCAAAGCCAAATTCCATTGCTGACCCTCACTTTTAATGGACCTCCAAGCAGGCTTCATCTGATGTACACACTAGCTCATTATATCTCCAGAGTTGGCTATGTTGCATGTTGTTAGTCTCCCCTGCTAGACTGTGAGGTGCCAGGCAAAACAGCAGCTTTGGAGTCCTAAGATCAAGCCCCGTGCTTGGTGCCCAGTAGAAGCCCCAAAATGGTGACCAGAGGAACCACAGGACCCCACGGCAGGGCGTTGGTCTATAACGAAAACACAAACCTCAGACAATGTTTACAACATCGTGTCTCTGGTTACAAACATACATTGTCTGAGGTTTGAGTTTTCTTAGATGATTGTTATGGTATTTAGTAGCTCGTCTTTATAAAAGTAAATTTCGGACCCCTTTGCCCATATTCAGTTAGATTCAGCTTGTGCCTCCCTTATTTCACTGGAATCTCCTAAAATGTCACTTCTTGGCCCCAGTCCCTTGTCTCACAAGACATAAAATAAACCAGGGTCAATTTGTTCTGCACAGCACCAGGCTTGGGATTTTACTAGCGTAGACTTAGTGGCATACTACAGTATTACATGGTCTTGCTATATTGCTGTCATTCATTTGCCAATATCACACATGCCCGTCTTGGTTGTCTTTAATGGTATAACCCATGCATTGAACAAGCAGGACTCGAGTAATGATGAAAGCAGCTCAGATTTGTCTCCCAGAGACTCAACGCCTGGTCAGTGGGGTAACCCATTGTATGAATATTAGGTTAGGTGCTATGACTTATCTGATTACGGTAAGTAATAGAAATTCTAGGGTCATTTCAAGCTACAAAGATACTCTCAACTTGTTATGTGGAAGGAGTATTTGAAACTTCTGCCCCTGGGGCTCATTTACAATAGAGGAGGGCATGGTCCCTTGTCTTTGCTGAGCATTTCTCCTTTCTCAGCATGCTTGCCTAGATTTCCAGCCCCAACAAGGTCACGGATCCTTGGGCAGGATTAGAACAGTCCCTGGCTGGCTCACCATCAGCCCCCATCAGTGCCCTGTGCCTTGATTCTTGGAGAAAAGGCCCAGCCAAACTCAACAGCCTCTTCCTCTCTCCAGTGCCAAAGCTGCTGGCACACCCACATCCCCCAGATCCCACAGGCAGGCCGGAGTCACCAGAACACACCTCCACCTGCAGGAAAGGGGGGAGAGGCAAGCAACACCCCACACCTCCCTTTAGTGGCTCTAAGGAGCAGGGGTGAGGAACCACAGCATCACCCTCCAAAGCAATCTCCTCAAAATCACTTATCTTTCCATTGGTTCACACCTTTCAAAGCCTTGAGGGTAGGGGGATTCAACAATTGTGTAACTTGTGTAACGGCTTGCATTTACCATTGCTGTAAGGTGTCAGCGGGATAGCCAGAGACGCACAGCTAAATTGTAAAGGAGGACTTTAATACACCGGTGGGCTGAAAGGGGGCTCTCCCCAAATCAACAGCCCTGAGCCTTCTTTGTTACCCGCTTATATAGACACAAACTACAGAGTAAAAAACTACATTCTCGGTGCCGCTTTTGGCACCGTTAAGGGGTGGGGGACTGATAGAAGGGGGGTGAGAGCAGCTGTTAGAGGTTAGGGCAACCATTAATCTCATTTTCTCATGGTTCCTCTGAGTTTCCTAAGGCCGTCGTTAACCCCTTATCTTTATAGTTTTCTTTGGGTTTCTCAAGGCCCTAATGTTTACAAAAAAGAATCTGCCAGGGTGTGTACATGCAGTAACTGAGGGTCAGAATGGAGTTATTACACCATGATTTGATGCTACACCACTTAACGGCATTGCTGCAGTTATAAACTTACATGGTCCAAGGTCTGTGTTCTGGTAGATGATTGTTAAGGTACTTGGTAGCTCATCTTTATAAAAGTAAATTTTGGTAGCTATTCATTTATTTTCAGTGATAAAATCGGTTTGAGTCAATGTTCTTTCTTACCTGAAAATGCTTCTGAAATTAAGAAATTGTAGCTAGAACTAAAATAGTTGTCTTCGTTTTATTCTCTCACATCTAAATCCTTTTTTGGGGAATGGCCCACTGGTGATCTTCAGTATAATTAACTCTTTCATACAAGCATGCAGTCTCCACAACTGTACCCTGAAAAACTCAAAAGTGGGTAATCCTGGTAAAACAGGATTTATTAGAGACTTAAATTTACAAGAGGAAATACAGTAGATATACAGAATAAATTTGACTGGTTTGATAGCAGGACGTTTGTTTTTTGTTTTTTTTTTTATCCTCACCCGAGGACACTTTTCCATTTTTTGTACGGATAGAGTGGGAGGGAGAGAGAGGAAGAGAGAGAGAGAGAGAAACATCGACGTGAAGGGATACATCGAGTGGCTGCCACCCGCACGACCAACCAGGGCCGGGGACAAACTGCAACCGAAGTACATGCCCTTAGCGGGAACCGAACCCGGGTCTCTCCAGACCGCAGGCCGACGCTTTAACCGCTGAGCCAAACTGGCCAGGGCCATTTTTTTTTTTCTTAGAGCATTTTACAAGGTTCCGCAGAAGCCACCATGAGAAGCAATGAATTAATCCACTACAACAACCTAAAATTTTTGTAGTTTTCCCTGAAAATAAACTATCAATATTAGCTTCTTACAGGCAGAGACCATAGACGACTTAACATCCGCATTCACAAGTCCCACCACAAAATATGTACCCAGCAAAGTTGTACATAGTCATTCATTCACTCAATAAACATTTCCCGTTGCTATGCAAACAGAAGTAATCTTGGGAGCAGGGGCAGCCATTCCACTTTTTTTCCTCTCTTCAACAATGGTAGAGAATTTAGAAATGCAGTTCCCAAAGGGACCTTAAACGTCATCTGATTCACTCACCTATTTTCCAGAAGGAAAATTGAGGCAAGGGGGTTAGTGACTTACCCGGATCATAGAGCTACTTAACCAGAAAGATGAGACCAAACACAGGACTCCCAATGTCCCACGGCCCCAAGCCATGCC